TCCTTCCTTCCTTCCTTCCTTCCTTCCTTCCTTCCTTCCTTCCTTCCTTCCTTCCTTCCTTCTGTCCTGCTGTCCTTCCATCCAAAAGGGTCTCACTATGTAATTCAGGCTGGTTTTAAACTCACTATGTAGCCCAGGATAGCCTCAAACTTGTGACAATCCTTCTGCCTCAAACTCCCAGGTGCTGGGATTACAGACATGCGACACCACACCTGGGTTTTGTTTCTTTCTCTCTCTCTTTTTTTTTTTTTGGTGGTACTGGGGATTGAACCGTGAACTCACAGCCTTTGCATCTGTAACTCAGAGCTACATCCACAGTACTTTTCTTACTTTTATTTTTAATTTTGAGACAGGTTCTTGGTAAGTTGCTAAATTGCCCAGGCTGGACTCAAATTTGGGATCCTCCTGCCTCAGCCTCCACGGTGGTGGGATTATAGGTGTGGGGTACTACTTCGGTTTTTGTTATTGCTTTCGGTAAAATGAGAAAATTGAGGCCGATGATCCTGAGGGCACATCTGAAATTATAGAATTCCTGGACACTCCTTATATATTTAAGGTTGGCTTTGCCCACGAGGCTTCTGTTCAGAAGGCCAGGCTTCCAGATCAGGGGCTGCCCTTCCTCTTCCTGCCAGCTGCCTTGGGTCTGGGTTCCCTGGCTTGAAGTCTGTCCACAGGAAGAAGTCTCGGGTTCCACTCCATGCTCTTTTTGGATCCTGAAGGGTCTGACCAATCGTGGTGTCCCTCATTTGTGGTAACAGTGCTGTCCCTTGCTTGTGGATGGAGTCTGTTATTGGGGAAAAGCCTTATATTGCCCCAGAGCTGGGGCCTGGTCATGTGCCTGTCAGTAAGTCAGGCTTTCCTGCTGTTAACGTTCAACTAAAGAAAATCTGAGAGATAGCAAAGGGATTTTGGAATTCTGAGGGCAAAACAAACACAAGGAAGTGGATCTCCCTTCGCAAGGGACACCACTGGCTTTTGCTGACGCGATGGCCCCGTGATGGCCTGGTGTCAGCACTTGTGCCTTGGGAACAGAGTGCAACTATCTCCTTCCTCTTGCAGGATGTGCAGAACAGGCTTAGGGAAGCAGCCCAGGGTGTTGGGGACGAATTCCTGAACTGTAAGCTGGCTACTAGGGCCAAGGTAGGTTATTGCTCTTGAGTATTTTTTCTCCTCTTACCCAGAGATACAGTAATTTTAACCCAGCATGGTAGTGTTCTGCCTCTGCTGTGCACTGGGGATGTGAGATCCACTGCCCATTCTTTGCGCTTGACCCTCCTTCTGTTACCCTAAAACCAGGCTTAGCCTGTCTCACACCCAGGCCGCCTGTGGTCTCTCCTCTTACCCGGCAGGACTTTCTCCCTGCTGACATCCAGACTCAGTTTGCCATGAGCCGGGAGCTCATCCGAAACCTCTACAACAGCTTCTACAAGCTGCGGGACCGGGCCGAGCGGATTGCGTCCAGGGCCATTGACAATGCAGCTGATCTTCTTATATTCGGGAAGGAGCTGAGGCAGGTGGCCCTTGTGGTGATGGAGTCTCCAGGTGGTGGTGGGCTATGGGCACACCTGTAGGAATGACCATCCTGACTATGTCCCTACACAAGGGTCAGAAGTAGGCTGGGCCAGTGGGGCATCATATTCAGGAGGAAAAGCTGGGGACTTCCGCTGGGCCATATGGATTCTTGCGTACCTTCCACACTGCAGTCTTCCCTGTGTAGGGATTAAATGGTGACACGGATCATTATCTTTGAGAAGGGGCCACCTGGGTTGGCACGCTCCCTCTGTCTACAGGGGCACAGGACGCTCTCCTCTGTCTCAGCTGCACTTGGGATGGGGCCCTGTATCCCGCCATCCTCTGTGCACTCTGTGTTCCCTCGCTCCCCTTTAGGAGCTGAGCTGAGGGCAGGACGTGCCCGCCCGTGAGTGTCTCCTGCCTGTGTGCTTCACTTCTGCAGTGCCTTAGGGTCTGACATGACCCCGCTCCCCTCCTGGGCCACTCTGCACCTGAGTACCTGGGCCTCGCTGAAGCAGGCTCTGAAGGGCCTCTCTGTGGAGTTTGCGGTGCTGGCAGACAAAGCCGCGCAACAGGTAAGTGGCCTCCTTCTCCACAGCCTCTGTCCCCTGTGCGGGACATGCTGTCCCTCAGTGGGGGAGTGCCTCCTGCTTGTGCGCCCCACAGTTCAGAGCTCTGAGGGATCAGCAGCCCCTGTGAGGAGGTACTGCCAGTCCCTGTCTGTTCTGGGCCACTCTGCATGAGCCAGTTATGCTCGGGAGACGGTTGTGAGGGACAGAAACATGCTAGGTTCTGGTCTCCTGAGTGTTGACTTTGCTGAGTCTGCAAGACAGACTTTTTTCCCCCTTTGTGGTTCTGTGGATTGATCCTAAGGCCTTTGCTCTAAGCTACATTCCCAGCCATTTTTATTTTTCGAGACAGGGACTTGCTGGATTACCTGGTGTGGAATCTGTCCTCACTATAATTGTGGGCTTCAGGGCATACTTTTGGGCAGCCAGATAGTTCCCATTGTGCTGAATAAATGGTAACTTAACTCACCAGTAATAACTAAACTCCCAGCACTCAAGAGGCCCTGTCTTCCTCCTACTGACATCGAGCCTCCCTCTCCCTCCTCCTCCTACTCGACACCCACAGGCTCCCTCTTCCTCCCACCCCGACACCCACTTAACCTCAAGAAATGCTGCTGCTATTCAGCAGGATCTGTATTTAGAAATCTGCAAAGAATCTGGAAGTCACTGGGGACTCATTTGAAGATGCAGCAGTTACCGTCTAACCTAAAGGCTCATCTGGGCCTTTTATATTATAAAGCTGTCATGTCATTTTGAGAGTATCAGCTTGTTGCTTATTTTTGGGGAAATGATCTTCAAGCTGCTAGTAGATGGTTATAAATAAATTAATGTCCCTGCCTGGGCTGTGGAGCTCCATTGTCTGTGTGCTGGATCCACCTGCTGGCCATTTGGGGGCTTCGCTTGCTGGGGGTTGGGTGCTCAGATGCAGATAATGTGTTCACACAGAGGAGAGATTTTGAGCTCTGCTGGTAGGGAAAGCCCTTTTTCTTCTGCTGCTGCTGGTGCCTGTGTGTTCTGTTTAGAAACTGAGGATAGGTGGTGTTGGTGCCTTCTTTATCTGCACTGGGTCTTATCCTTCTCCGGGTCTGTGGGTTCCCCTTTTCCAAGGTGGAGAGGACCAAGGATGAGGAACCAGAGTTTGCCTGGATGGAAAGGCAGGGGGCTTGGGGCAGGGATCCACACTTTGCAGTGTCTATGCTGTGACTTTGCTCCAGTTACTTTGGTCTCTGGGCCTGTTTCCCCATCAATGAAATACAAGGGGGCTGGACTAGATCACTAAAACAAACACTTTATTTTAACTTGAACCTTTCTTCCAGGCTCATATATAAAATAAAAGCAAATCATTCGTGTTGCAGGGAACCAGGCCCTGGCCACCCTCTGTAGGGAGCCCCCAGCAGGGTGCTGGGATCCCTGGCCTTGCAGAGAATGAGGTGAAAGTCATACCGTCAGAGATGTTCTGGGCCTCTTCTCATTCCATACTCCTTGATGAAGGAGAGCAGGCCCAGGCTTCTGTGGTGGTGGGGAGTTTGTCATGTGAGGGTCTTCCTAGTTCAGTGGCTCTTTGATATTTCACAAATTCTGGTTTGACATTTAATGTCTAGGGAAGTTCTACTTCCTGAATACTTCCTCACTGTTCTACTTCCTCACTGTTTTTGATTGTAGCGAAGTAGAATTTTTACATGAAACTGGATCAGGACTTTGATCAGCTGAAATTCCAACCCTCCCCTCCTGTACAATGAAGCCATCCTGGGGCTATTTTTCTAATTCTGGTTTTGCTTGTACTAGTTTTGCTCTCCCCAGACCCATTAGAGATGTAGATGTACCAGCAAGACGGGTGAGGCTTAGAGCAGGGGCTGGTCTCCCTACAGTGATGACACCGTGGACCTTTCTTTGTCTGTGAATGTGTGATATTAGGGATTGAACTCAGGGCCTTCACAATGAGCTGTATCTTCAGACTTTTAAAAAATATTTTATTTTTATTTTATTTTATTTTATATTTTATTTTATTTTTGTACTGGGAATCAAACTCAGCACCTTGCACTTGCTAGGCAGGTGCTGTGCTGCTGAGCTATCTCCCTGACGCTTTTAAACATTTTTTAGACCATCTCACCAAGTTTTCAGGCTGGCTTGAACTTGTGTTTGTCCTGCCTCAGCCTCTGGAGTGCTGCAATTACATGCGTGTACAATGCCCAGCTATGGTATGCCTTTCTTAAGGCATGTGCATTGATGGCTTCGAGTCCTGTGTGCTGAACCACAAGTTGGTGTTGGTGGCAGACACAGGGAGGGAGGACCCCCGATCCCCTTTTCTACTGCATCAGCTGATGCTTTTCCATGTTTTGAAAACCCTTAACATGCCTCTTACTCCCTGGAGGTTGTTGGCTAGAATCTGGGGTTGCTGTAGGTGTGGGACTGAGTGGCAGGAACCCTCTGGCTCTGCAGACGGAGGCCTAGAGGGCGGGAGGGGTGTCCTGAGTGGCCGGAGGTGGCTGCAGTCTTATTCTGGTGCTTGTGTTCCTACACATTTCACTTCTCTGTCTCCTGCCTCCTTTTGCCCACCGTCCCTCGCACCTAGTGTGACACACAGCTTCTGGGGTGACCTGCTGCTGTGTGTGCACTGGGAGGCCGGGGCAGCCTCTGTGTGGCGGTGTTGGTCACTTGTGTCCCAGGATGCTGAGGACAAGTCCCAGAGCTGGGCTTTCCCTTTGTTAACAGGAGGGCTGCTGTGCTGCAGGCTCACCCGCACCTGTCTCTTGGTTACCCTCACTGTGCTGCCTGAGCCAGCGTGACAAGAAGCCCGTGTCTGCCCCCTTTCTCCCCTGCTCTGATCTACACGTGGCCCTTTCTTGTCCCCCATGTCCGTCGAGGCACCAATGTTTACCTGACTCTCACCTCTTCTATGACATCCTTTTTGTGGCAGTGTCTCTTCCCTCACGTGCCACCCAGACCTGCATTCTGTCCATTAGTAAAGCACCAACTCCCTCTGCTGTCCCCCTTTGGACACACCCACAGCCTCCAGTGACACTGCATGCGTGTGCGTGTGAGTGTGGGGTGAGACACTGGTCATGGGGAGCTGAAGGAAGATAGAATGTGGGGACAGCTGGAGCAGAGGTGGTGCTGCCCTGTCCCTGTCAGAACTGTTGGGTTTGAAAATGTCTTTGCCTCCTGGTCCTGAGTGGGAGCTGCTGTTCAGAAAGGGGCCCCTTTTACATCATGGGGTGGTGGCTCTGGGAAGATGAGTCTGCCAGGGTAAGCTCCCTAGCAGCCTCAAGTCCTGTGTGGGCCTGTGTTCCGTAACTCATCCTTGTTTCCTAGGGCAGACAAGAAGAGAATGATGTGGTGGAGAAGCTGAACCTTTTCCTGGATTTGCTTCAGGCCTATAAAGTGAGTCTGGGCTGCTCCATGGGCAGGGGCAGAGCTTCTGAGAGTAACCCTGTGATCCTTCCAGGGTGTGGTTCTAATAACCTTGAGGAGTAGAGGGCTAGGGCCATGCACGGAGTCTTCATGGTCTGCTGAAGTCTCCCCACAGCTGGCCGATGCCCCTGCGGCTTTTCCCTTGCTAAGAGAGGGAGGGGCTTGCCCTGGGTGTGAGAAGCCTTGTGTGTGTGTGTGTGTGTGTGTGTGTGTGTGTGTGTGTGTGTGTGTGTGAGAGAGAGAGAGAGAGAGAGAGAGAGAGAGAGAGAGAGAGAGAAAGAGAGACAGACAGACTGAGTATCAGGGTTCTCCTTCACAATCTGGGGCCCCTGGCCCAGCAAGAAGGGAGTTCACCCAGGAGCAGGTAGAGTTTCCAGGAGGTTGCCCTCAGCTCAGGGCCGGGGAAGCCTTCTGAGCAAAGCACCCGTGACAGGATGAGTTGTGACACATGGCTTGTGGAGCCAGGACTCCTTCCTACTGAGGGCCTCTTTCCCAATGCAGCGCTCAAGGACAGCCAGCCTAGTGCTTATGGAAATGTTCTAGAAGGCATCCCAGTCTGCTGCTTCTGAATGAGATGGTAGCAGATGGCTTCTACAGCCTGGTGCTGATACCCTTGAGGTTTCTGATTGTGGATGTTTAGGATCCCACCCTTTGATGCCAGTGAGTCTTCTTTTCAGAGCTGACCAGTCTTCCGCTGACCAGAAACCCACTCTCTGGACCTTGGTAGCCTTTGCAGTCTGAGGTCTAGAACTATCTTGGGCTCTGGACTCCAGTCCCCTTCTAACCTAGGCTTATTGTACATAGGGTTTTGCTTTGGGGCTTGGAGTGTTCTGTACTTTGAGTCCCCACACAAACTAGCATGGGTCCCTGGATCTGAGTAATCCTGGCCCTGAATCCCTCTGCTCCCTGGCTGTTTCCTGAGCGAGGATGAGTGAGGTGTGGACAGCCAGTTGTCTGGAAGCCCTCATTATGGCCATGTCCTGGCCTCCTCCCCCTCCTCTTGTAGAGCTTGGTGCTTTCTCCTGTGGAAGCTAGGAGATCCTAATGTTGATGCAGTGGGAAGGGCTCCAGACTGTTCTTTAGTTCTGGGTCCTTCTGGGTAGGTGCAGTGGTAAGTGCATATTCCTCTCTGTAGGACCTGTGCGAGCGGCATGAGAAGGGTGTGTTACACAAGCACCAGCGCGCCTTGCACAAGTATGGGCTGATGAAGAGGCAGATGATGAGTGCTGCCGTGCAGAACTGCGAGCCTGAGTCTGTGGAGCAGCTCGAGTCCCGCATTGTGGAGGTAGGGGGGGGGACCCCAGGGACATGCTTCCCTGCCACTCACCGTGCCATGGCCCTGGCCCTGGCCCTTGGTTCCCTGGAGTTTTGCTGTATCAGCTACATAAGGAAGACTGAGCCTGGGCCCAGGCAGGCGGTGTATGTGGGCCTTGGGGCTCCACTTTCCAGCGTCTGCTGGGCCAGGAGCACACGGGGCTCTTTTCCTTGCAGCAAGAAAACGTGATCCAGACCATGGAGCTTCGCAACTACTTCTCCCTGTACTGCCTGCATCAGGAGACGCAACTGGTCCACGTGTACCTTCCCCTCACCTCCCATATCCTCGGGGCCTTCGTGAACTCGCAGATCCAGGGGCACAAGGAGGTAAGGACCACCTTCCCCCTGCCCACCTGCACCAGGCCCCTCCTGCTGCCAGCTGCCCTTCCCTAGTCCTGCAGCTCCTACAGCCAAAGACCTGGGAAAGTTATTTATGTCAGTCAGCGGAGCTGGGGTCCGAGTGGAGCTTAAAACACAGTTCTTGTTCAGATCCTCTGGTCTCATGTGGCCAGAATGATAATTAATTCTGAAACTGTTCTTGTGGTTCTTGGTGGGAGGAGCAGAGAGAGCCCAGAAAGCAATAGTTTCTTCCATCCAGAAGGACTGGAGAAGTCAGAGGAGGCATCTAGCTGAGAAGAGGGATGCTGAGAGCCAGGTTTAGTGATTAGGAGTATAAGCAACTGGCTATGTTTCTGGGAAACTGTGTTTAGCTGCCTCTAGTCTTAGAGAAGTGATGCTGTGAATTGTCCCGAGGGACACTCTGGGTGCGAGTGGTCTAGAGCTGATGACTCCAGGGTACATCTTAGGTTCTTTGCTCACTCCTCTCAGCATGTGTCTGCCCATCTCCAGACAGCCTAGAACACCTGTGAACTGAGGCAATACTTTAAAAATGACTGACTGTTGGGCATGGTGGCACATGCCTCTAGTCCTAGCACTCTGGGAAACTGAGGCAGGAGGATTGTAGAGTTCAAGCCTAACCTGGGCAACTTAGCAAGACCCTCTCTCAAAATAAAAAATAAAAAGAGCTGGGGATGTAGCTCAGTGCTGACACTCTCAGTTCAATGTCCAGTACTGCCAAAAAACTTTTCTCATTCTGTTCCTCTCTCCTGGCCCTGGAGAGCCCCCGAGGCTCCTCTCTCTGATGGTTCCTGGCCTGGCTGTCTTCCTTTCCAAGTTACCGGTGATGCCTTCTGCTGACACTGGGAGCACAGTCACCTCCTAAAAGGATACATCCTCCCCTTGAAGCAGGGGAGGAGGCCGGCTCGGTTCATTCACCTTGTTCTCAGGTCTCTTCTACATGAGTGTTGCAGTTTCTCCTCACCTCTGCAGCTCAGTTTTCCCATGGAAAAATGGCAAAAAGTACGGCTCTGCCAGTTTCCTGAGGTTGGCCTGAGCCTCTGTGCCTGGTGCTGGGCACAAGCTGATTCTAGTGCCCCCCGTCACCCAGGATACACAGAGAAGTAGGGCAGTGAGTAGGGAGCTGGCCTCTCATGCCTTGGCCAAGGCTTATCCAGAGCCTGGGGGAGGTCAGGGGACCATAAGTCACATGAACTCAGACCTGCATTTCTGAAAGGTCACCAGAGTGTTCAGGGGTGGGGATAGATGGAAGTCACCAAACCAGTGGGGTGGTCATTAGGACTGACCATTCAGCAGCCAGCCTAGCCCTGACATAGAGTGCAGAACTGCCTGGGGGCATCTGTGCCAGGTGTGGAATTGAGCCGCAGAGCCTGCTTCAGTGGGGAAGAGGCTCAGGGAACTGTGCTGAGTAGGGTGCCCGGTGACAGGAGGGCCATTGTTCAAGAGGGAGGTCACCTTAGCCTGAGGCAGAAGTGTACGTGCTGCTGGAGTTCCTGGTGCTCACAGTGCCTGGCAGTTTTCACAGTACCCCTAGGCCAAAAGACATTTTTGCATTCTGTTGATTAACAAATGTCACAGCTTCCGTGTATTCTCAGAAGCAGTGTATGTGTCCCTGGTGAAATACTCTGTGATGCCCTGTAGGTTTGCTGGGATGCAGGCGTGACTTCAGGCACAGTTTGGGAAACGCAAGCCCCACTGGAGGCATAGCAGTGGGCTGGAAAGGAAGCTGTGTTAGCTTTCCTGTCCCGAACAAAACACCTGATACCTATAGCCTAAAGGAGAAGAGGTTTAACTTGGTTTCTGTGCCTGAGACCTCCTGGCAGAAGGATGTAGCAGAGGAAAGCTGCTTAGTTCATGGAGACCAGGAGGCAGATCAGGGGAACAGTACCAGAGGAGGGGCCAGGGATTAGGGTGGACTGAGGCCCCCAGGCCACACCTGAGGCCACCCAGATGCACCCAGAAGTAAGCTCCACCAGTCATGGGACAGATCCCAAAGCCAGTCAAGTTGACCCTCCTTCCCCCTTAGCCATCACTGAAGAAGTGTAGAAAGGTCAGGAAGTCAAGATGACATCTTGGGGACCGAGTCCAGGCTTGGTCATCTGCATGGCTGGTGATATCAGTGAAGGACTGTGTGACTGGCGGTGAGAGGGCCAGGCATGTTGTCATGAATGGAATTGTGAGCAGTCTCTTCATGGCCAGTGATTCGCTAACCCCATCTCCCAGTGCTGAGACTGGACATTAGCAGTGGCTGGACCTCAGTGGCCCATCCCAGGACCACACGCTGCTCTTCTGTTGTCACATAAGCCCTCATCACACACCAGTCTCTACCCCAGCTTATGGCCAGGCCTCCCTGATGCCCACCATGTTTAGATGTGAGAGTGCCTGGTAGGTCGTTAGGTCCTCTGTCCTGTTTCTGTCTTGTTCACTTAGTGGATATGGCTTTGGAGTTTGACGTGCTGGGCCAGGCAGAAGGCCAGTTGCAGAGCTTTGGAACACAGTGCCAGGAGTGACTCCCCCTTCCTTCCTTCGAAGCCAGAGTTGCTGTACCACTCAACTACACTCCTGGTCCCTTTTTAAATTTTTAAAAATTTCAAGTCTCTAATTTGCCCAGGTGAGACTCAAATGTGATCCTCCTGTCTCAGCCTCCCTCTGTGCTGGCAGTCACATTTCTTAAAATTCCACATGGATCAGATGTTGGCCCTTTGATCCTGCATGTGGGACTGAGGATGAGCCACCTGTGACCTCTGGAGGATGGCCCCACTGAGGAACGGGATGGGCTGACGCGCCGTCACTTTCGGGATCTGTGGTCATGGCTGGTGGGGGTGGGGGTGGGGGTGACTCACTGTGGACCCTCTGCTGGTCTCCAGACCTGAAGCAGACATGTCCCAGGTAGTGCCTTTCTCACTGGGGGCCTTTCTGTCCTGCAGATGAGCAAGGTGTGGAATGACCTGAAGCCGAAGCTCAGCTGTCTCTTCACTGGACCCCACAGTGTACTGACTCCACCACGGTCCCCTGCAGAGGATAGCCTGTGTCCCCACTAGTGCCCAAGGCCACAGCAGAGCTCCCTGTGACTCACTAAAACCTCTTTGCAAATAGTGTGTCCCTGGCTGATTCCCTTCGGACGGCGGCTGTTGCCCCATGGTGCCTGGAGGGGCTGAAGTAGAGGAGCTCATGCTGTCTCGGTCCGTGGGGGCACAGCCAGCTATCTCTGCCCCTTTCCTGGGTGGGAGGCTGCACCCCTGACCAGCTCTGTGCCTGCAGGCCCGGTAGAGAAGTTGGGGTTCTCTGGAATGGTTCTCTCAAGATGACTAGAGTTGGGGGCAAGGATTGTTCCCACACTGCAGGTCATGTCTGGGGGAGCACAGCCCCACCCCCACCATACCAGAACAGTCCAGAGGGTTCACCTAGAGCAGGGGTCAGCCGAGTAGGGGAAAGGGCAGGCAGGACTGTCCCATGGGCAGGTAGCCATCCGGCAAGGAGATAGCCAGTGTCTGACAGGGAAAGTTCAGACTGTGGACTAGGGCCCCAGACACAGGCAGCTGGGTCCCTGCTCTGTGCACCAGAACAGAAGGCAAGGCAGGAAAGCGAGCTGATGCAGAAAGTCCCTAGTGCAGTGTGACTGTCCACACTCCAGTGAATGTCTGCAGAGCCTGGGCTGCCCTCTGCATGCATGATCCTGGCGGCCCCATGTCTGATCAGGTACACTGAGATCTCTGGGGTGATGGTGTGGAGGGTCCTCTTGCCTGTCTGAGGCTGGAAGCTGCTGTTCCTTTACAACTCTTGGTGGCCACTGTTGGAGACCAGCGTCACTGGGGCAGAGCCTTTGAAACCATTTTCCTTTTTTGGAGACTGTAGACCCCCTCCTGCCTGCTTGCCCAGGGAAGGGCATTTCAGGCTGAGTGGTGCTGGTTTCCTGCTCTGTGGGGTCAGGTCTGAGAGAAGGCTGCTGTCATCCCTCATGTAGTGGACACACAGGGTTTTGTTGGAGCCCAGGTGTCATCAAGCCATGTCCTCGATGGCCAGGGAAAGACTGGGAAGAGGCATGCAGCATTTCTGAAGTTTCTCCCATCCCATGATTCATGCTTGCTGCCCAGTGCCTTTCCCAGGGTAGGAGGCTCGGCTGGCTCTGAATCCTGTCCTCACACTGATAGGCCACAGAGTGGGTCAGGGCCACCTTGTTCTGGCAGATAGCTATGTGGGACCCACTGGGAGGATGTGGCGGCTGAGTCAGTGCTGCCCCTGTGTAGATGGGCAGATTCTGCTTATGCCTTCCTGCTGCAGGGCTGGCCAGAGGGCAGACTGTCCTCCTGTGGTTCAGGGTGGCTTGTGCCTGTGATCTCCCTCTGCCGTGTGGCCCTGAGCTGCTCTCTGGACTGTTCTGTAGCCCTGACCCTAAGGCCTTCTGTCCTGCTGCTGAGAGGAGGCCCTGGGGCCACGGGCATGCATCTCTAGGCTGTGGAGGCACACATTCCTCACACAGGCTGTTGAGAAAAGACATTCCTAGCACACCTTCAACATGTACTGTGTGTGTGTGTGGTACCAGGGAGTGAGTCCAGGTCCTGGAACGTGCTAAGCAATGCTTTACCACTGCTCTACTCCCCTAGGCGATTTCTGAAAACTTTACTTTGAGAGAGGTTCCTGCTAAATTGCTCAGACTGGCCTCAAACTTTTGATCTTTCTGCTTCAGGCTCCTGAATAACTAGAATTACATGTGTATGCCACCCTAGCTGGCCAAAACAAACTTTATCCTTTAAAGAACTGGCAGGGAACTGGGGGTGAGAGAGTGATAGGAGATTGTGTAGCTGGTGGCCTCTCACAGCAGTGGGACAAGGAGGCAGAAGCAGAGGAGGAGGAGGGCAGTCTGCCTCCTGTGGTAACTCCCGTGCCCCAGGAGTGGGTGTGGACAGAAGCTTCTTTACTTGCTGTCTGCCCTCTCACACCCCTGGGTGCTTTAGGAAGGGACCTACTAGAACTGCAGGCTGCTAGTGCAGCACCCCAGGCCTGGGTTGGCTGTGTCTGCTTAGCTTTGACCCTACGTAGGAAACCTATTCCTAGCTCCAAGGTGAAGGTCTTACGGTGGCAGAGGACCAGGGGCCCCAATTCCCTTTCTGCTATCCTGCTCCCAAACCTGTGTACCCCACTGTGGCCATGCCTGGCCTGATAGAAGAATGCTGGGCACCACCGTCACAGATGAGGCCTGGCGTGCAGCGTCCTGTTCTCCTGGTGAAGAAGGTTAAGGGGGTGCTCAACTGTGGTCTTGGCAGAAGGCCATGTGACCAGAGGGCGGTAACTGTGAGTGGGAAGTGCAGGGCATGTTTTTGTCAGGCCCACCAAGCTCTGGTGGTGTGGGGCTGGGCCTGTGGCCATGAGGGAAAGGATTGCTGTGGGCCTGTGTAGGACCCAACGCTGAAATCAGTATTGTTCCTAGCGTTCAAGGCCTTTTCTTATGCGGCCCAGGCCAGCTGTTATGTAAGAAGCACTTTCCATGGCTGTAGGAATCAGTTACTGCCACACCCAATAAACTGGAACTGTTTACACATGACCTGCATTCTGTAGTTGTATCCACAAACCCCTGTGAAGTTGTTAAATGTGTCTGAAAGTTGGGTCAAGCTGTAGGTTCTTTGTATAATGGATGTTTTCCTCTTCCTCCTTCTTTCTGGTGGCCCCCACAGAGAAGGAACAGCTCCTCTACTGTGGGCAGGGAAGGAAAAAGCCTGGGATACATTAAATCTGGGGTTTGACCCTGAGCTCTTGACTAGGCCTCAGTGTCCCCTACTGTCAAAGGGGAAGAATCAAAAAAAGGGGGTGGGGGGCTGGGGATTTAGCTCAGCGGCAAAAGCGCCTGCCTGGCAAGCGCAAGGTCGTTCGGTTCCCGGTACCGGAGAAAAACAAAAAAAACAAAACAAAACAAAACAAAAGGGGGTGGTGGCAAGAGGACAATATGCAGCGCTAGGCAGAGACCTGGCCTTGCTTGTCCCCTGTCCTCTCCCTGCTTCCATCTCTGTGCAGCAGGGCAGGTCAGCCCAGCACAGCTGGTGGCTGCCTGTGGGCAGGGGTGAGTAGGTTGTGCCAGTGCCTAGTGAAGACCATTAAAAAAGCAAAGACTTTTATTTTTCTTTCTGTCCAATCATCTCCAAAAGAGAAGACATAGCCCTGACCATGGCATCCTGAGCCCAGATGGACCGACAGTCTGTGGCTGCCCAGCAGCCAGACCCAGCAGGGACCAGCAGCTCATGCTAGATAGCGTCCACTTCATGCAGCGAGTAGTCCAGGATGGTGTCCTGGCCCTGGAATTTAAAGTACCCTTGGAACTTCTTCTTCTGAAGCAGGAGTGGAAACCAGTAGCTGTCATCAGGCCACATGTCACCAAAGGGGATCTGGTCCAGCTGGAACCACTGAGGGCGCATTTCTGTACCAAGGGGCATAAAGGTAGCATGCTAGTGCTTGCCACAGAAGGAACTGGCCTCTGGGAGGTGACACTGAGCAATCTCTGTGCACAGCTGGATCTGACTGTTTTTTGTACTTCACAGAGCAGGAAAATGGTGTGCCCTGTGGCCCCAGTTGTGAGGCTCAGCCTGTGCCTAGCACCTTCATGTGAGATGGGTTAGGCAAGTGACCAGGCGCTCCTTCCCCACAGTGGTGGTGAACAGGTCGAGACTCACCGTCACTCTCCGTGGGTGTCCCCTGCACGCTGTCAGTTTGGAAGATGTGCACATCCATCAGCTCGGGGACACCCACAAACTCGAATGTGATGTGGCCCACCTTTTGCAGCATGTCCACAGTCAGGCCGCTCTCCTCCTGCAGCTCCCTGGGGACAGAGAGGGGTGCAAGGAGGCATCAGCTATAGCACAGTGCCTCCCCATAGGGCCCAGAGACCCCAGAGGTGGGATACATGGGCTGCAGATCCCAGGAAGACGTCATCTAGAAGGTGTTAGCAGGTACCAACCTAGCCCAACTGAGGAATTAATTTGAGCTTTAAAAACATCTGTGGTGGGGCTGGGGGATTTAGCTCAGCGGCAGAGCGTCTGCCTGGCAAGCACAAGGTTGTGAGTTTGATTTCTGGTACCAGAAAAAAAAACCAAAAAAAAAAAAAAAAAAGTCTGTGGTATGTACCTGTAATCCTAGCTACTCAGAGGGGGATCGCTGGAGTTCAGGAGTTCAAGACTAACCTGGCTGGCCTGGGCAACATGGCAAGACCCTGACTCAAAAAAAAAAAAAAAAAAAAAAATTTTGGCTGGAGACTCTGGAGAGGGGCTAGGAGATGGTGAGGAGCCGAGTATGTCTGCAGTCTCCTGAGTAAGGACAGGGCAGGAACTGACTCCCATTCCTTCAGACTCAGCCCCCGCTCTCTTCTGTGGTGGACACTCAGAGTGTTCTGCAAACTGGTGCATGTCAGAGCCCCCACACTTGCCCTAGAGCCTGGGCCCTGTGCTCTGCGCCCAAACAATGTCCTTCAGGTCCGGTGCCCTGACCGTGACAATGCGGGTCTTGAAGGTACCTCCTAAAGGAGGGGCTTGGGCTTGTTTCTGACTTAGGTTCTGCCACTGAACCAGCTCTTCTGAACACTGATGTGCAGGACAAGTTTTAGGCGTCTTCCTCCACACCCCGTCCCTCTTCTTTGGACACCAGCAGCTCGTGGAGCTGTAAAGGATCCTACCCTAGAGCAAACCCTCCTGTTCACTTCGAACAGAACCAGCTTCCCTTGCCTAAGTATCTCATGCTACTGCTAATTTAAGTCTTTAAAATTACATGTTCATTTCAGACTGTTCAGGAAACAAAACACCCACAAACCTATCACCCACAGAGAACTCCTGGTCTCATTCCAGTAACCTTCCTTTGGGTCTCTCTTCTTTGCACATCCCTTTATGGAAATGCAGATAAGCTGTACCTCAAATTTTCACTTACTGAGAGGTGTGTGGAACACACACACGCACACTCCCGCCTGCCTCTGACCCTTTTCTGAACTGCTACATATTTTTTATGAGACAGAGTCTTGCACTATAGCTTAGGCTGGCCTTGAGCTCAATTGCCATACTCCTGCTTCAGCCTCTCAGGTGCTTCGATTACAGACATGTACTGCCGTGTCTGGCTCTGAATCTTATGGAAAAAAATTCATCTTCTGGTCCTCATGAAAAGCACTGTGCTGAGCATTTAAGATTTGCACACCTAGCCAGGCGTAGTGGTGCATGCCTGTAATCTCTTTGGCACACTGGAGGCTGAGGCAGGGGGATCACTGTGAGTTCGAGACCAGGATAGGCTACAAAGTGAGCTCAACACCCTCTCCCTGCCAGCCTGAACTGCATAGCAAGACTGTCTCAAAAAGACCAAAAAAAAAAAAAAAAAAAAAAAAAAAATAGATTTGCACATCTTACCCTGCCACCTCCACGCCTAGTGGAGGTGTCCAGGCTCCTTGAGAGCCACTTGCTGTGTGCTTGGGACTATGGGGATGCTCAGGTCCTTTCCTTCTAAGAGGTGCGTTTCAGTGCTACCCTAGATTAACTTGTTTCTATAAACCAACATGTCTGACCATTTCTAGGTGTATATAAGAAAATCCTAGCTTTTGTCTCCGAGTTATTTTTGGAACAAAACCCCCTTATTTCTGCCTGTAATAAGTAGTCAGGATGCTACCCTGTTTAGATGCAAAACACTATTTACACATTAGGTTAAATGGTTCTCAGCTTGCTCTCTGCTGTGGTATCAGACACATAGCCCCAAAATCAGTACATTCATTGACATGGTTAATTAAAGTTGGACCTGAGCTAAAAAATGAGTTTCATTTAGGGTGGGTGTGCAGTGGCTCGCCAATTAAACCATGCAAGTGCTCAGCAGGGCCTCCCCCGCGCCTCTGGCAGCAGGCTGGCGGATCTTGCTTTAAACATCATCCCCTACTGATACAATGTTTTGACTGATTTTGGTTAATCCTCCCCCAGTAAGTGGCAGTGTATGCGATATCAATAATCCCCTCAGTGATGGAGCTAAAGCTCCATTTCACAGGCTGGGATAATTAGACAGATGAAGACGACCCTGTTACAGTTTTGCTAACGTGTCTGGCTGTATCTGTGATGCACATGGCAGATGGAGAACAGGATGAGCAATAAATTAAGCACAAATACAGAGCAGAAAGCACCCTCTGTAGTGGAGGCGGGGGTGGGGGTGGGGGTGGGGTAGGAAGTCCCGGGATTTGGCATTAGCTGTTCTCTCAACTGGGCTCTGTGTTCCTGTTGCTGGTGTGTGTTGCTAGAAAGTAATTTTCACTGTAAACTTAAAATCTAACCCTGAGGCCTGATGCGCCTGTCCCACAAACTTTAGGTCCTCAAGTGTCTGCCTGCCCCGTAGGCAGAGGCAGGACCCCCAAATGTACCCAGTGGCTTCCCCCACACTGTGGGGGCAGATGGGCATTCAGATCTGCCCTGCTGCTGAGGCGCGTTGCCCTCTGGGAGCCTCGTTTGGGTCTGGACCTAGCAGTGCAGGGACAGGGTCCCTCCATACCAGATTCCCTGGGAGAGGATGCTGCTGGGATCTCCCGAGGGGCAGCTCTGCTCTGATAAGATGTGCACATCGGAGGCCAGCTAATCCCCAAGGAGTCAGAGATCACCAGTCTCAGCCTGTCTGGCCGCAGCACCCTCATCCCTCATGTAGGGAATCCCCCACATGCACCTGTGGGTTCCTCAGGACTCGGCAATGCCTCTGCTGCCCCAGCTCTTTCTCCACCTGGGCACTCAGCCACGGGGCAGGACTGGTTTCCGTGCCTCACAGACTCTCCTAAGGCCGGGACAGCCTTGCCCTCGGACTAAGGTTCAGCACCCAGGGCCTTGCCATGCTTAGTCCTGTGGACTGTGTAGTGTAGGGAATGCAGGGAATCTCTCCATTTTGCAATCCCACATTCCCTCTCATTCCTCAGAGGCAGGGGCATGGTGGTCTCTTGTCAAGGGGTGTCCCTTACCCTGACCATATCCTATACTGTACTCTGGACTGGTGGCTCTGAGTGCCCAGAGAGAAGTTCCTCAGGGTTTACCACACCTCCTTAGCCCAAGTGGCACTACGCAGTCCACAGGACCAAGGGTGGCAAGGCCCTGGGTGCTGAACCTTAGTCTGAGGGCAAGGCTGTCCTGGCCTTAGGAGAGTCTGTGAGGCACAGAAACCAGTCCTGCCCCGTGGCTGAGTGCCCAGGTTGAGAAAGAGCTGGGGCAGCAGAGGCATTGCCGAGTCCTGAGGAACCCATAGGTGTGTGTGAAGCCCCAGGACCACGAGATGTTCGCAGGAAGGCTGTAGAGGCATGGACTATCCATACAGCCATGGAGTATAAGCTGTCCTGCCATCGGTAGCAAGATCAGGACAAAGGCCGCTGTGTCCTCAGCCCAGACTCTATATGGCCACTGGCATCCAGTCAGCTTTGCAGAGTCTCTGCATGGATCGCCCTGCCATCTACCACCTGTGGAAGGCCTGCCCTTTGCAGGAGCTGGGCATGGTGGAAAGGGAGCAGATGTGGTTTCACTCGTCCATGACAAAGGTGTCAGAGCACAGGGGAAACATGTTCTTCAGCAAGTGATGTGCCACTAGGTATCTGTACAAAAACAATCCCTAGTCACTGCCCTGCTGTCCTGTTATATGTGGAAACTCAATTGTACATGGTTGGAGACCTACATTTCTTTTTTTGTTTTGTTTTGAGACAAGGTCTTGCTGTATAGTTTAGGCTGCCCCTGAACTCACTAGGTAGCCCAGGCTGGCCTCGAACCTGGCAATCCTCCTGCCTCAGCCTCCAGACCTACATTTCTGTTTAGGAGTCACTTAAGAGAGAATCTTCTTAAGCTTGGGATATGCAGGTCACTTCAGTAATTGTCAAAAACGTTAACCATAAGGAAAATATATGTATGTGGGATTAAAATTAAAAATCTGTTTATTAAAATATGAAGAATTAAAAGGCAAGCCACAGATTGGAAAGTATTTGCAGTGTATTCAGTTATATCTGAAATGTATAAAGGACCATGACATGGTAAGGAAAAGGTGCTGGGTTAAACAGCAGAAAGTGCAAATGGACACAGCACAACCAGGCCTGTGCTGGGCTGCAGACACAGAGAGACGTCTAGCTTCCCCACTCTTTAATCTTTAATCACTCTTTAAGGCAGGGCAAACATGCTCAAACCACAATGAGATGCTGCCATGCCTGATAGCATGGCTAAGAGGTTAAAGACAGAAAACACTACTTGCTGCTGAGGATTCAGGAGAACTAGGATGCAGACCCGCTGGGGGCAGCTCATGTCAGCACTGCTGCTTTGGAGACAGCCTGGTAGCAGCGTCTCCTGCAGCCCACTGCAGCTACAGTTTCCCTCCTATGTGCAGACCCAACACACACAGTATTTCATAGCCTCACGCCCTGCACTAGCTACAAACTGGCAATACCCCAGGTGCCTATAGCTGAGTGGACAGATGTGGTATGTCTCATGCTGGAGACTTATACAGTGAGGAGGAATAAACATGGCTACATGCACATGTAACACTGGGAAAAGGCCACACACAGGGTCCCTCAGCACGATGCCGTATACCTGACATTTCAGGCCAGGCCCAGGTCCTCAGCTGTGGCAGTCAGGCCAAAGCCACCTGTCCTGTTATTAGATGTGCATGTTGGTTAGATGGGAACTCCTTAAAATTCACAGCAGAATACAACTTTGTACACATATGTTACACTGCAGGAAAAATCTGACTTAAATGGAGTTCTGGCCTCCAATTCTGGGAAGAGGGAGTGTAAGGCTGCGGTGAAGTGTGCCAGGTGAGAAGCTGGGAAGAGTGTGTAGACAGCAGCCCTAGGGAGCAGGACAGAGCAGAGGGCTCCACAAATTCACAACCTAACCATGGCCCTGGCAGAGGCTCAGTGGATGACAGGTGGTGATTTTTTTGGCGGGGGTGAGGGTTACTGGGAATTGAACTCAGGGCCTGGTGCTTGCGAGGCAGGTGCTGTGCTGCTGAGCTACATCCCTGGCCCCAGGTGACAATTTTAAGAGCACTAGAACTTGTTAAAGGGTTTCACATGAATGTGTGCAAATGCTGGGGTGGGACACGGGGAGGAGGGTAGAGACCCCAACAGTGTGTCATAGGCCTGTCAGCCAGGTGGGGCATGGGCTGCAGAAGAAAGGCAGGAGCAAGAGTCCAGTGGGGGCTGCCACACCTGCCCAGGTGAGCGGAAGGTCTGGAAGGGGTAGTGGAGGAAGCATAGCCAGAATGGACGCAGGTTCCATCTAAGGGGAAGGCACACCTTTTGCACCATACCTATCTCCTTCCCCACTTTGTACCTGGTCAGAGGAAGAACGACAATCCTGCTTAGCCATGGGGATCTGGACTAATGACTTCTTGTGTTTATTTCAACCCAGAAAGGCATGATATTTACAGAAAGCAGAAGGACATAGTCCCATGACAGTTCATAAGCAAACACCTCAGGACTGCTGAGGGGAACCTGGGAGTTACACTTGTCACCAGCAGGACGGACAGCTGGGACAGCCACCTGTCAAGTCCTCTCAGCCTCCCTATTGGCTCTCAGCTGCTTCCACACTTGCATGCACGGCCCCCGTGCTCTCGCCTCTGTGCTGCTGTGAAGGCCATGCCCCCATCAGGAACCTGGAGAGTTACACCTGTGCCCAGTTCTCCACCCTGTCCTGGACCTCTAGCCCCCTGGGTGTGGGCAGACCTCTCTCCTGCTCACTTATGAGAAGCCAGGAAGCCTTGCACAGGTGGGTTACGACCTAGTCCTCCCTGTGTCCCTAAGTCTCACACAGAGTGAAGGACTCTACAAATTTGTGACCTAACCATAGGCCTGGCAGAAGATGGGAAACCAGGTCTTGCGTCACTTGTCCATGATCACTTTCACTTCTGAACACACCCCAGCAGGCCACAGGCTGGGTGCGCACTCCCCGTATGGGTCTTTCCCCATGCTGTGCCACCTTGGCATGGGGTCAGCTGCAAGGGCTGGAATCTGCCAAAATGACACCAAATGTGTAGTTGGTAGGGAGGTCTCAGCCAGGGTTCTTCATACTGAGGCCTGTGACTCTTTCACACCCTCTGAAATCAACCAGCAATGTAAAACGAATGGGAGATGACTGTTCCATCATTATTTTATCTGCACATGTACTCCTAAATATGCGCTGGAGAATAAGGCTTATTTTTTACTGTGGGTTGAAATTTTTTTAAAAAAGGAAAGCCTCTGGGCTGCAATGTCTCAGCCTCCCTCCATTCTAGGAGCTTCTCTCTGTATCTTGGACTTTGTTCTTCAGGGAGAGTGGCTTTAAGGTTGACAATACCAGAACAACAGAACAAGAACTATTTTTCTGTAGGGCTTTGCAATGCTTACAATGACAACCTCATTTATCCCTATGAGCCTGTGAGGAGCAAAAAGGGGAAAGCTGAGGCTGCTGTCTGGAGGACTGTGATCTTGGGCAAGTTGCCCAACCTTTCTGGGCTTCAGCTCCTTCCCATGGGGAACTGGTTGTAGAACTGAGACCATGTGTGCACAAGGTTCAGATACGTGTGACCATGAGCTCCCCAGAAACTGAGGAAACCAAATGGCTGATGAGCCCTGTAGCTACATGAGGAAGCCAGCACTGTGCAAGTGAAGCCGTAACACACAGAAGCATGCCACACACGTCCTGGACACAGCCACCACCTCATGGGAGCTGCTAACATGTTCGGTACTTCTGTAGGCCAGGCAGGTCCAAGTCCTCTGCATGCATTTTCTCATTTATCTTCACAACACTCCTAAGAGGTAGGTTGCCAAGGTTATTATTCCCCTCTTGCAGATGAAGAGATACAGAGGCTCTTCTGGGTGTGGTGGAGCATCCCTGTAATCCTAGCACTCTGGGAGGCTGAGGCAGGAAGGTTGAAAGTTCAAGGCCAGCCTGGACAAACTTAGTAACTTACACCCTATCTCAAAATATAAATGATTACAAAAGGGTTGGGGCTGTAACTCAATGCAAAGTCCCTGAGTTCAATCTACAGTGTTGTGTGTGTGTGTGTGGAGAGGCTCAAGGGTTAAATACATGCTCCAAGCCACACGGTGCTAGATGGTGAAGCTCAGATGTGGCTCTATACCCATCCTCATCCCCTGCCAGGCGGGCTCTGTGGCCAGAACCCCTCCTTCCTCACCTCTTGGCCCCATCCTCGATGGTCTCTCCTTCTTGAACCTTGCCCCCGAAGCCGTTCCAGCGGCCAGCCCCAAAGCCCCGCTTCTTCATGCCCAGCAGCACGCGCTGAGGCTGCAGCACCAGCACCAAGGTGTAGAGCCTGGAGGCACCCATGGCTTCTTAGGACTCTGTGAGCAAGTGAGAGGATAGGGTCAGCCTTGAGGGGGGCATGGGCAGCTGTGGGTGTACCATGTGTGCAGGCTGGTGGCCCGGTGGAAGGAGGTGTACTCCAGGCCAGTGATGTGGGACTTAGCTGGCAGCAGGTGCAAACCTGTCCTTGAACCAATTATGTTCTGGATCAGATAAGCCCACCTTCAGCATACAGCAGCACCAGTGCCAGCCCTGGTCCAGCAGAAGAGTCGCAGCTTCCTTTCCCACTCATTGGTACTCTTGGCTATGAAGGACATAGCACAGCCTTCTCAAGGCTGACTTGCTGGTCCTGTATCTATCCTAGGAACCCCAAGCCTGTATGCATAAGCAGGGCAGGCTGGCCCCATGGAGAGCCATGTAGTTTATCCAGTGGTTCTTGTGGCAGTCTTTTGGCCTAGTCCTTTTCATTCATAGGGGCTCCTTCTAGCCTACTGGGACCTGGCTGACTCTGCAGTAACAGACCTCCAGAGTTTCAGGAGGTGCCCAGTTCCAGATAGGGTCAGGTCCACTTTCCTATGCCAGGAGGGCCTATCTCACTCTGCTCTTACTGTTGGGTCCTTCCTGCTCTCACAGGTGTTCATGGTCGAGAGACAGAGAGAGAGACAGAGAGAGAGACAGAGAGAGAGAGAGAGAGAGAGAGAGAGAGAGAGAGAGAGAGAGAGAGAGAGAGAGAGAGAGAGAGAGAGAGAGAGAGAGAGCGAGCTGGAGGAAGGGCCCTGGAGAAACTTGGATCCACCAGGAATAAGTTCTGGCCTGGGGAACCACACCTGTCCAGAGTAAGATTCTGAACCAGTGATCCTTCTTGGAGGTTATGGCGTCTAAGAAAAGGGACCTGAGGCTGAGGCCTGTGGTGGGGTTGTCAGGTGAAGTGGGTTTTGGGCTGGGTTTCCCATGAGGCTTCTATCTGTCCTGACAGTGACCCGCCTGTGTTTGAGGCCCTGACTTCCTAATGCTATTGCTGCTAGCAGTTACCAGCTTTTTCTTCTTAAGCACTAACTACATATAGCTGCTTTTGTGTATTTCTAAGGGTGTGGTTCCAGGGATGCCTCAAAATCTGAGGATACTCCTGTTATTAGGCAGATAGACATGAGCAGGCCTGAGGGACAGGGATGGGAGTGGGGTGATGTCCAAAATAGCATGCATTACCAGAGAATTAAAGAAAAGCTTCAACGTATAATGCATTTATAATCATTTGTTACGTCTCCAACCTAATGTAAGCCCACAGAGCACACAGTGACACTTTTAAGGTTATACCCCGTGCACATTCCAATACTTGGCCACCTGGGCATCTAACTCTGGAACAAGGCACACTGCATTCCTGGCTGTCACAGCTGACAGCACAGTTATCAGGAAGGGAAATGTTCCTTAAAGAATTTCCTGTCTTGGGATGGGACCTGGTTTAAATGAACAACTTATCTTTTCTAAGTTCCTTATGTGCTTAAAGGCCCTGAGGAAACACAGGAAGACATTTTGTACTTTCTAAGTAAATTCTAAGTAAAACTCTGAGAAGCATTCTCATTACTCCAGTTCCCTAGATACCAAGACTAACTCTTGGGTGCATAAAAATGTATCCAAACTCCCACTCAGTGCAGAAGTCTTCCTGGGACCGCCTGCCTTATTGCCCAAAGGTGTAATTATCTCTTTATGTAATTTACAATAAACCCTATTCTTCTGCCTGGTCTACGTATTTGGTCTGAATTCTTTCATCAACAGCATACACAACTGAGGACCAAGGAAGTGAGGGTCAGTTCCTCAAGGTACCAGGACGCTGCTCTCTAGTAACAATGTGCCTTAAGTAAAATCGTGTAACATTTGCACATAACGCCTGCACACCCTCCATACTTTAAATCATCTCTAGATGATTCATCCCTAATACAATGTGAACATCTCGTAAACGGTTATACTGTACCACTTGGGAATAAGAAAACTGTATCATTACAGATAAATTATTTTTCTGATTTTTTTCTTTATACATTGGTTAAATTGACGCTGAACCCAACGACACAGGGGGCCAATGTATTTTCAAGTTATCCTCCATAATACACCCAATACTGACACGAGTGAAGGTTTACTTTCTCCACTTTCAGAGAAGACTGCAGCTCAGTCTTGAGTTTACACCTACAGATCCTGGGTAAATCAGAGGGTCCTTAAGGAAGTCCTTGATGCCTGGGGCTGAGTGCTGGCAACCTTGCTCCTTAACCACATGGCCGGGTAAATAGAAGCTGTTAACAGGGATGGAGGCAATGCAAGGGTGCTGCAGCGCTCAGGACGCATGCGGCGGGCGCTCGGTAAACGCTGGTTTTGCAGCGGCTGTGCCTAGTACTGGGTCCCAGACACCGGGTCCCCCCTCTTGCCCCACCCCTCGCCCTCTGACCCAGCTCGCTCTGACCACTGGACTCTATGATCGTTTCCCTGGTACTCCTACAACCGCCACCTTTGGCATGCTACTGGGGTCTCCCTCCAATCCCACGTCCCTTCCCTGGGTCTCGCCGGGTCTCCCCTGGTACCTCCTTGTCTCTTCGGATCCCCTGGCTCCCCGGTTTTCTAGTCTTAGACCAAAGGTCCGCGAACCGCGTTTAACCGCACGCCGCTCCCGGGGCCGGAAGGGGCGGGCCTTGGGCCGGAAATAAAACAAGAACTTCCGGTGGCGAGCAGCGGGCGCGAGCTGACGCTCATGGCAGGGTGAGTACACTCGTCGCCTGCTGCTTGCTTGCGGGGAGGCGGGTGAAGTTCGGTCCCCCAGTTTCCTCATCCAAAGAGGAGGTGCTAGCCCACTCTGCCAGGGCGTTCGAGACGGGAAGCCAAGCAACGGGCCCGGACTCAGCCTCCCCTCGGAGCTCACTGGGCCAGTGGAGAGGGGAAACTGAGGCAGAACGCTGTCTTGGGGTTTTCCTGTAGTCTTCTAGAGCACAGTGACAATTTCTTTCTTTCTTTCTTTCTTTTTTTTTTTTTTTTGAGAGAGGGCCTCGCTTTGTAGTTCAGGCTGTCCTTGAGCTCTCTGTGCAACCCAGGCTGGCTTCTAACTCACGGCAATTCTCCTGCCTCTGTCTCCTGAGTGCTGGGTTACAGGCATGCGCCACCACGCCCGGCACAGTGAGAATTTCTGCTAGAGGAGGAAAGAATATTCCTTTCAGTAATGTTATCAGTACTGTTAACCAGTACTGGGAACGTGTTGGTTGATTATTATACACGAGATAACAGTGATGTTTGAGTTTTCCTTCTGAAGAAACCCTTCGGCCGAGAAAATGCCCTTCCCTGAAAGAGCAGAAACCTGTACAATGTCAGCGAGCTTGGCTGCTGTTACAAAGCACCGCGGACCAGGCTTCTTAAACACAGACATTTCTTTCTCACGTTCTGGAGGATGGAAGGCGCCGATCAGGGTTTGGAAGGGGTTGGTCCCTCCTGAGGTCTCCCTCCTTGGCTTCTGGATGCCATCTTCTCCCCGTGTCTTCACGTGGCCATCCCTCTATGTCTGTGTCCTAATCTTAGAAGGACACCAGTCAGATTGGATCAGGGCCCACCCCAATGATGACATTTTACCTTAATTATCTGCTTGAAGACTTCATCTCTAACTATAGGCATATTGCTGGGAAATAGGAGTTTGAGAGAGACGCAGTTCAGTAGGGCATTGTCAAAGCACCACCTCTCTTTGTGCTTCAGTGCTCTATCTCTAAAAATGAGTGGGTTGGGTCGGAGAGATAGCTCAGTGCTACAAGCGCCTGCCTGGCAAGCGCAAGGTCCTGTGTTCGATTCCCAGTACCAAAAAAAAAAAAAAAGTGGGTTGAGCTAGGGACCCCATGCACTGTCACCTCATCAACGTGACACCAGCCTTCTTGCTCCCTTTTTCCCACTAGGTACTGGAAACTGCTGTGTGCCTCCCTCAGGCATGAGAGTTTCCACACTGCTGCACAGCACTACAAGGGCCGGACAGGCGCTGAGCACCTGTGGCTGATGCGGCATTTAAAGGACCCATATGTGAAGGCTGCTAAGGTGGAGTGTTACCGCTGTAGGAGCGCCTTCAAGCTCCTGGAGATCAACGAGAAGCATGGGATTCTGCGACCCGGCCTCCGGGTGTTGGACTGTGGGGCAGCTCCTGGGGCCTGGAGTCAGGTGGCAGTGAGAAGGGTCAATGCCACAGGTGCAGGTGGGGCCTCCATGCTATTGTCAGCACCTTCTGATCACCATGAGGTTGAGGGGATGCTAGTGGGCTGCCTTCTCTGGGGAACACGGAGCAGTTGAGTCATTCTCTGAAGTACCTACTTCTGAGGTGATGGTTTAGGAGTAATGATAAAAACAGGACACTGACCTTTTTAAAATGACAGACCGGGACTAGGCATATGACTTTGTGGTAGGAGCTTGCCAAGTGTGCATAAGCCCCTGGCTTTGATCCACAGCTCCACCCATTCACAAAGACAAAATAGGCATAATGAAAATTAAAATCTCACTGGGCAGAGTGGTGCAAGCTTGTAGTCCCAGTACTCGGGAGGCTGAGGCAGGAAGGTCACTGCAAGATTGTGGCCAGCCTAGGCTACATAGTGAGATCCTATCTCAAAGGGGGGAAAAAAGGTCAAATCACACCACCCAGTATAGCACTGATATGTTGGTGTGTATCCTTCCAGTGTGTTTTTTTCATATGTACTTATATTTTCAGCTATTTTGGTCCTAATGGAGCTGCTGTACTCCTTGATGATATATATCTGCATGTTTCCGTAACAGTCTCAACAGTATTGCTGAGTCAACCCCAGAGGTGTCTGTCCCACTCCTTTCCTTGATGTCTTATAGTGGGTCTGTTGGAGCTGTTGCCTTTCAGGCCTCGGGAAAGGCTTCTTGGCCTGGACACTGGATTCTCCACTCTGGGTCAACTCGACTTTTGTGTTTTATATTTTATAGTTTTAACTAAGATGTTCTATATAATACACTTCGCTTGATTAAGAAAGAGACCACATGGTGGCACATGCCTGTAAACCCAGCAGTCATGCTGAGGCAGGAGGGTGGAAAGTTTGAGCCTCGCCTGGGCAACTTAGCAATTTAGAGAGCTTCCTACTAATTGATTATAGTGGTTCTGATTCCTCCAATTGCTCTTCAGAAGTAGGAAAATGTCCCAGTTTAACTTTCAGGAAGAAGTGACAGAACCCAAGAACACATGGATAACCTGAACTTTCCCTCCTAGAGTTGTAGAAATGCAGCCCAATTCTTTTACTTTCAGTGGAAGTCTCCCAGATTCAATACATAAGTATAATAATAAAGGTAAGAAAGGTCAAGAACATAAAATGAGATAAGAGGTGTTTTACTTTTGGGGGCTGAAAATTGAGGGTTTTCACCTGTGAAAAGTGAGGTATTGTTCAAAATTCCAGGTTTTTTTCCTAGAAATAAAAACACAAATCCTCCCATTTCCCTGAACAGCCTCTTTTTTGGGGATGGGGTACTTAGTACCAAGAACCTTCCCACTGAGCTATGTTCCCAATTTCTTTTTAAATTTTTTATTTTGAGATAGTTTTGCTGAATTGCCAAGGCTGAGCTGAAACTTTGGATTCTCTTGCCTCAGCCTACCAAAGGGACTACAGTATTCCATGCTTGGACTGCAGATAGCCTTTTTATTAAACAAACAATTTGGAAATGTGACTGTACCCTGAACTTACCAAACCTGAGGCTCGGGCTCACCATCAGAGCTGAGGTGCTCCTCAGTGGAGGGAACTGATGGGCACTGGGAAAGGCCAAACGCCAGCGGGTGTACTGTGAGAGCAGTTATGTGCAGGAAGTCTTGTTTCAAAGTTAGGTGAAACTGACATCTCTTTATTTTATAATTTTTCCCTCCGGTATGGACAAGGTATCACTTTTTGTGCTTCGTTCTGTATCTGTTCATTTCCCATCTCTGGACTTCTGAGTTTCTGCATTGAAGAGAATTGGATTAAGGTGGAGTATGGATTTAATCCAGAGGTGCTTTATGTCCCAATGAGTCATTTTATTTACTTATTTTTGGTCTTTTTGAGACAGGACCTTGCTATGCAGTTCAGGTGGGCCTTGAGCTTACTTTGTAGCCCAGGCTGGTCTTGAACTCCTAATAATCCTCCTGCTTCAGCCTCCTGAGTGCTGGGATTATAGGCTGACACCACCATGTCTGGCTATTTTGTTTTTATGCAAAAGACTGCTCAGAAGAATCCTTCCACAGAGAGGGAACCTCAGGTAACAAAATGACAACAAAGTCGGAGTCAAGTCCTAGCTGTTGCCTCAGCTCACCTGTCACTCAGGATGACTAGAATAACAACTTCCATTTTGGACCTCAGTGTCCTCGGCCCTTCCCCCACCAGGTGTCCTCCTAAGATGTTAGTATAGTAGGAAAAGGCCTCAAGCATGCATAGTTGCACGTTAGCTCTCTTCCTCAGTTCTGATGTCTTTGTTTCATCAGTTTGTGTGGTACAGTTTTGTGGAAAGATTTAGGGTATAAACATATTCACTGTTTCCTCCATAGATCCCAGCTCTCCTGTTGGCTTTGTGCTTGGGGTAGATCTTCTTCACATCTACCCTCTGGAAGGAGCAACTTTTCTGTGCCCTACTGATGTGACTGATCCTAGAACTTTCCAGAGAGTCATGGAACTGCTTCCTGGTGGGAAGGCAGATGTGATTCTCAGTGACATGGCACCCAATGCCACAGGCATCCGGGACCTTGATCACGACAGGCTCATCAGCATGTGCCTGTCCCTTCTGGACTTGGCTTCAGACATCCTGCACTCTGGGGGAACGCTGCTTTGTAAAACTTGGGCTGGAAGTCAGAGCCATCGGTTGCAGAAGAGACTGACTGAAGAATTCCAGAACGTGAGGACTGTAAAACCTGAGGCAAGCAGGAAAGAGTCAGCCGAGGTCTACTTCCTGGCCACTCACTACCGAAGAAGGAAGGGCTCTGTGAAGCAGTGAACTTTCCTGCCACTCTTATTGATCTTCCGTCCTAACCACTTGTCACTCTCATGGGTGCTAGGGTGTAGAGCTTGGGTGCTCTGAGAAGTGGCTGGAATCAGAGATCAACCTGAGAGATGAGCAGGACTGTGGGGAGCCAGTTTGGTTTTCAAAACAAAAGATACGACAAAATATATCTAAGGGGGATAAAAGATAATTTAAAACACCAGCCTTTCATAAGATTTTTGAGGAGAAAGTTATCAGGAGAAAAACAGGTGGAGAATGAAGGATGTAAAGAAGCAGATGGGAGGGAGGAGTAAAACAGACTCAGGTAGTGATGGACATTCCTATGTAGGCCTTTCTAGACCAGTGATGGTGAACCTTTTTTTTCTTTTTTGGTCTTTTTGAGACAGTCTCACTGTGCAATTCAGGCTGGTCTTGAATTTACTTTGTAGCCCAGGGTGGTCTCGAACTCACAACGATCCTCCTGCCTCAGCCTCCTGAGTGCTGGGATTAAAGGGGTGTGCCACCATGCCCAGCTGGTGAACCTTTTAGAGCTTTTGGTGATACAAACAGCCCACTGTAACACACATGCCATAGGTTTGCCACCACTCTTACGGTTAGCATGTTACAGAGGAACCGGTGTTCCTCTATTGCTTTCAGAACACAATGCATAGGTTTCCAGTTGTTACTGTGCCTAAACAGCATAAAGTAGAAAAACCTGCAGTTTGCATCTGGAGATTAATTGCCATCTCACTGGTGAATAATCTGGAAATTCATTCATTCTTTCAGCATTGAGACTTCCCAGAGCTTTGAGAGGAGACATTTGGTATGAATACATGCACAAGGTTGTGTGTGCCTGTGCTTTGGTTTGCTGGGAGTATATCTTTCTGTAATACTCCAGTCTTCCAAGACCATAAAGGTGACTGCCAAAACATGCAGCGATGTGGTGTGTTCATTTATTTTCTTTCCCCTTTCCAGGATCTCAAAGCTTTATCAAAGAATATAGATTGCATTACATTAAAGGATTGCCATGCTTTTGTTTGTTTTTTAATCGACTGGTTTCTTTAAAGCCATTTCCTACGGGTGCCCTCATTCCTCAGGACATGTCTGTTTGCTCTAAGGATTTCACACTGAGAAGGGTCCTAGGAAATAATCCCTGAAGTGAGCTGTGGGTCAGATATTTTTACTTCCATTTAGTTTTGGGTTACAGTCAGGGAGTTAAGCCCAGTCTGTAGTCTGTCTTCTAGCCCATTCCTCCCCCTTCCTATTTCATTCATGGGGCACACAAACTTGATAGTCTCGTCTTCCGGAAAAAACTGAAAATTCAGCGTAGACTCTAGGGAATGGCCCCTTCTAATCCTGGGCTGAGGAGTGGAAGGAGACGCGCGCGGAGGTGGAAAACCACAAAAAAATCCCTGTTATGGGGCAAGTCCCGCCGGCAAGTGTGCAAAATGTTCCGTAACAGGTTATCTGATCTTTGCGGTCTGCTCTGAGGAAGTGGAGAGGGCTAGGAAAGCAAACACTTCGTATTTCAGGAGTAAATTATAAGGTTATATTCAAATGGACGCTTGTAAGATTTTGAGAAGCATCAGGTGTGCAGAGAAATTTGTCCCTAGGAGGCCACTGTGGGACGGTGCTATTACACACACTACGGCGCGAGCCAGGCGGAGGTCGTCGTGGAAGTGCGTCCCGTGGAGCGGCGGTGGGAGCCAACTGACCGTGCTGTCGTTCGGCCTTTGGTTTCGAGTCCTTTCCGTGGGGCCTTCCTGAAGTGGTCGGCTCCGGGTAAGGACGCTGAAACCGTAGGCTAGAACTAGCGATGCGTAGAGTCGGTTCTTTACGGTCGGCTTTCATTGGGTCTCGCGAGAGTGCTGCCGCGACTCTCGCGATAAGTGGGTGCGGGCGGAGCGGAGGGAGATCTGAGCGGCGGCGGCAACAGCTAGCGGGCAGCTAGGTAAGCGGCAAGGGACTGGGAGCATGGTTCCGGGAACGGGATCCCGAGGGCAAAGGACAAGGGCAGCCCCCTTCGTCAGTCCCCGCGTCCCCGGGACCCCGCGCCGGGTTCGCACTGCCCGGAGTTCCTGGCTGGGTTCTGCGCGGCTCTGGGGGGGGACCCCTGACCTGTGTTCGCTCTTTTAGGCGAGGTCCCCATCCCTCTTCCTCCTGGCCGGGATCTGCACGGAAACACTCTGGAGACCCCTGGCCTGTCCTTGCCCCCTCTAGGCACGGTCCCCATCTCTGCCCTTCCTGGCGTGGGTCTGCATGGTCTCCACCCTGAAGACTCTCTGAGTGGTTCTCGTCCCTTCTGGGCGCTGTCGCGTTCCTACTGTGCACCGTCCCCACCCCCTTCCTCCTGGCTGAGGTCTACATGGTCCTCACTCTCGAGATCCCAGACTTGACCTTGTCCCCTCCGCGTACCATTCCCACCCCGTTTCTGCGTGGTGCCCCACCCTGGGAACCCCCGGACCTGTCCTCACCCCCTTTAGGCACGGTCCTCATCCCTGCTTCTCCTGGCTGGGGTCTTCAAGGCTCCCCACTTTTGAGAGTCTCTTGGTCTCCTCTGGTCACTGGCAGTGGTTTGAAGCTCCCTCTTCTTTGTGGCAGAAGCCTAAATTGAGTGGGCGGATCCAACTTGTGTTTGTTGGAGTGGTAGAGGCTGCTGTCCAAGGGTGACTGCTTACCCCGCTGTCCCCCTGGGCTGGCCAGGACTGCCTGTGCTGGCAGTTGCTTTCAGTGGAGGAACTGTGTGGAGAGAGCCACTGCTGGGGTTTGTAGAGGGTGCATGCATTTGGACCAGGCAAACTCGCCAGCAGACTGGGTGGTATTCAGGTGGCAGGATTTTTGGTCACTCTAAGTTTCTGCAACTATCCTTTTTTTTTTTCCCCTTTGAGACAGTGTCACTATGCAGTTCAGGATGACCCCGAACTCACTATAGCCCAGGCTGGCCTTGAAATCTCAGTGATCTTCCTGCCTCAGCCTCCCAAATGCTGGGATTACAGGAGTGTGCCGCTATGCCTGACAGCCATCCTCTTATTGAGGCCCTTAGGGCAGTGTGCTCCTGACTCCCAGCTGAGGAGTTCTCCAGAGCAGTTGAGGTTTTGTGGCCAGCTATTGGGGAGCTTTGAGTCTCCGTAGAGAGTATAGCCTGAGCCAGTGCCTTATGGTGTGCCTGTGTGACAACCTGGTTCTAGGAAGTTGAAAATGCAGTATTCTTTTTCTCTTTCTTTCTTTTTTCTTTTTTGCTGTCCTGGGGATTGAAAACAGGGTTCTGCATACGCTAGGCAAGTGCTGTACCCTGGAGCTGCACCCTAGCCCATGCGTGCACTGTTTTTCTCATCTAGTGTGTTAGTGGGTTAATTCTCAGGGGATGGCTTCTGGAGAGGATGATGGAAAGTGTGGTCCTGGTTGGACCTTGGCAATGGGAGGATTTGGGCTTGGAATGTAGAACTCGGCTACGTCCCACCATGCAGGCTTAGTCTGTCAGGCTCACAGCACTGGGAGAGCCTATCTGCTTCCTTCTCACCCACTTTCACTGGGTGATGTGTATGAGAGGTGCTTGCCAGGGTTCTTGTTAAATGGGAAACTCAGAAGAGGCAAGCAAATATTCTTAACTTTTTTTTTTTTTCTTCAAGATAGGAACTTGTTCCTTTGCCCAGGCTGACCTTGAACTCAAGATTATCCTGCCCCCGCCTTTCTAGTAGATGGAATTGTGCCAGCCACCAGCTCACTTTTTTTTTTCTTTGAGTAGTTTGTGTGTGTTTCAGTCTTTTTTTTTTTTTTTTTAAAGGGAAATCACTATGTTACCTAAAGGAAATCAACTAGAATTGCCTCTTCCTAAGGGGAGAAACAGTATATACCTTGGAGAACATGCTTTTTGGCTGTAAATGTCCGTGGGATGTTTCATTGGTCATGAGTTTGTGTGTGTGTGTGTGTGAGAGAGAGAGAGAGAGAGAGAAAGAGAGACAGAGAGAGAGACACACTATAATAAGCACAGGCGTTGGGGATGCAAAGATCTCTGTAGCTGCTGGCCGCAGACTTTTCATATATGAGCTTGTGGGACACAGGCTACCTTCCAAGCTACTAAGACCCGGTTTGGATCTCTTCTGTACCTTTCTGAAGCCTGTTTCATCTTCTGTATAATCTGTGTAAGGACACCGACTTCACCAACCTCTTGTGAGGACTGAGCTGTTGTTGGAACTGCACAGCACAGTGCTGGTGAAACCGTGTGCCTGCGATTGTACCGCCTACCATTCCAAAATTCAGGGCATTGACCCTGTGCTCCCAGCAGCTCTGCAAAGTGGGTCATTACTGAGGCAGGTTTTCAGCGAGGAAACTGAGGATCAGGAAGTGTGAGTGTTAGGTAAATGTGGATACTTCCCTCTGGTGCCTGGTTGGAAGGAGTGGTGACTGACAGACACTATAATCACAATTGGCATCTCTTTGGCCCTTTTCACCCTTATGACACTGGTGTAAGCTTTGTTTCCTGTTCATTCCCAGAGGCCAGATGTTGTGTGAGTCCACTTGTGGGAGTTGTTCCCCTGGGGTGCTGAGCACCCCTTTGGGGGGCTGCCTGTCTCTCTAGGTTATGTCAGGCCAGCACAGTGACAGTGGCTTGGTGACTGAGGTTTGGTAGCATGCTTTTATGCCTCATTTTGTGCCTGGTAAATTGGCAGTGTGGGCTCCCAGGTAACACTGAAGAACATGATTGTGGGCTCTGGGAGGGTGTTAGGAGGAGAGGGTTGTGCAGAGGCACTGCAGATGGTGGCACCTGATGGCGTGTGGGGATGCTGACTCTGACCCTCCTTTTGTCTCCCAGGAAGAAGGCAGCCATGGAAGATCTGGGGGAGAACACCACCGTCTTGTCTACCCTGAGGTCCTTAAACAACTTCATTTCCCAGCGAGTGGAGGGAGGGTCTGGTTTGGATACCTCCACCTCTGCCCCGAGTTCTCTGCAAATGCAGTACCAGCAGAGTGTGCAGGTGAGCGGTGGTGCTGGGCTGGGTGGTTTCAGGCTCAGGCAGGGCTTGTTGAAGTTCCTCAGAGTTGAGGCAGTCAGTGTTAGCTCACCCTGGAGGCCAGCTAGCTGTTTTCCAGATTCATTGTGGGCATTCGTCATGTTGGGGTGATAACGTGGAGTCTAGACCCTGCCTTTGCTGCAGGTCTGCCTGTTTAGCACCCCAAGAATAGGTGTGGTACTTATCATTGTGCTCACACTAAAGGACTCATGCACACTAATGATAGGGTCTGAAGGTTTCTCCACTTAGTTGAGGATAAAACTCAAACTCCCTGGGTGCATCAGCACTAGAATTGTCTATCCAGGGTGCTGTCCTCTCAAAGATGTGACACGGGGAGACATAGGTGCCCAGACACCAAGCAGCAGGACTGGGTATGTCACCTTTTTAGCCTGTGGAGGGCTCTGTGCAGATCTTGGGGTGATTTTTGCAGTTAACTCTAATCAGAGCCGTACTTCACTTCACCTAAAGGTCTTGGGAGTACAGTGGATCTGGTTGCAAAGGACTCAGGTCTCCTGAAAGGCTTCAGGCTCTTAAGAGGGTGTAGTCCTACTTGGGGCTGGGATACGTGGGCCCCCAAGTAGGGAGTGGCATCTTGACTTCACCTTTGCTTGTCACTGCACCAGTGGCTGTAGTAGGCTTTTCACCAGCTTCCTTGTCACTCTGCATGTGCTCTAGAGGCATTCTGTGATGATGGCCCTTGTCAGCTGAGCCAGCCACTTCCTGTCACTCTCAGTCCTGCTGAGGCCCCTGCACTGCTTGGCTAGAGGGTTTGTACGTGTTCGTTTGCTGAGTGATGGAGTTCCTTTCAGAGCACAGGGTTGCTCACTGCCCTTTCTTGGCAAGGTCGCTTCTTTATTCTGAGATTAGGTTTTTATATTTCAATTTAGCAACACTCATGGCTTCTACCTACTAAATGGCAGTGGCAGACACATACTATTCATCTGTGACAGTCACAAGTGTCTCCAGACAGTGCCCTAAGTCCCCTTGAGGCAAGATTGTCCCCTGTGGGGAAGCATCCCTCTAGCCCAGTGGTTCTCTGACTTTAAAATACAGTTAAATGTGTCTGAGAATATGTCTGGAGGCGATGCTGACTCAGGAAATGTGGGTGCAGCCTGAGGTTCTGCTCGTGTTAAATCCCTGGGGGACACTGCAGTTGGCCGGCAAAGGCTCTGGCTCACGGGGAGTCACTGGTACAACTATTTGATGCATCCTTTGAGATCTTCTGAGATTTGTGTGACCCACGTTTGTCTACCCCTCTGACGAGGCTGGCTTCTAAGGTGGCTTCCCAATACCAGGTCCCTGGTAGACACTAACCTTCGCTGCCTTCTCTCTATTACTCAGTCCAGCACTAACTAGGTATTGTTGCAGATATAATAGGATTTTACAAATACAATTAAGGTCTTCAGTTACATCCCAGCCAGGCATGGTGGCTTTTAGTACTCTGGAAGATTGAAAATTTGAGCCCACCTGGGTGATTTAGTGTCTTAGCAAGACCTTGTCTCCAAAAATAAAAAAGGGCTGGGGAGGTAGCTCAGTGCAAAGGCACTGGGTTCAATCCTGGAAAAAAAAATATTTCCTGAGTGGGCCTGACCTAATCACAGAGCCTTTTAAGAGTCTAAGTCTGAGCTGGGCATGGTAGCACATGCCTGTAATCCCAGCACTTGGGAGGCTGAGGCAGGAGGTTGCCAACAAGAGTTCACAGGCAGCCTGGGTTACATTGTGAGTTCGAGGCCACCCTGAACTGCATAGTGAGACTCTGTCTTTAAAAAAAAGTCTGCGTACAGACTTCAGAGACAGAAAAGTCAAAGGCAGAGAGGTGAGATTCAGAGCAGGAGACGGAAAGGACCGTGTGGTGAGGGATGTGATATTTACAGTCCTGAAGATACTGGCTGTTCCTGGTGCTGATGGCGGCAGGGAAGTGGACTTTGAATGCTTGGCAGAGGGTCTTAAGTTGAGGAGAACATGTGCTGGCTGAGTGTACTGGTTTTTATTCTTGGGAGACTTGATCGGAGAACCCACCTACACCTGTGTGGCCTGCTCATCTGTAGACCTTCCACCACATAAATGGGTGACGTTTGTTGCAGATTGTTCCATAGCTGGGGAAAACAAATATTCCCTGTTTCCTAGAACAGGTTCACACACTGTCATCCTAAAATATCCCTTTCCTTTTTAATCCTTTCTTAATGTTTACTGGTTGCCTCCTGCCTGTTTTTCACTGTGGACCCAGGCTGGTATGGGGCCTTGGGGATTGTTACCTGGGGAGTGTGTTGAGCTACTCACCTTGCTTAACACAGCTTCTGAGCATCCTGTTTCTCTTTTGGTCTGTCCTTAGTTGGAGGAAAGAGCTGAGCAGATCCGCTCGAAGTCCTACCTCATCCAGGTGGAGCGGGAGAAGATGCAGATGGAGTTGAGTCACAAGCGGGCACGCGTGGAGCTGGAGAAGGCAGCCAGTACCAGTGCCAGGAACTATGAGGTGGGTCCAGGTGGAGTGGGCCTGGCTACCAGCCCTGGGAGGCAAGGGGCTGTGTGCTCTACTTTGCAGGACTTGGCCACTGGGGCCCCGAGGTCCTCTGCATCCTGTTGCCAGGGCATTCCTCAGAGACCCTGCTGCTGCGGGTCAGAGGTCAGCGGTACTGGAAGAAAGTGGCCTGAAGTGGGGTGGTTGCAAAAGGGGGCCCCTCAGTGCATTTGGTGCTTGGTAAGGCCATGTGTGGCAGAGGCGCTTTTTCCGAGTCTCTGTTTCCTCCTCCCTCTGAATGAATTGAAATGGAGATCTGGCAGAAATGCCAGGTGGTGTGAAGGTGGCAGCAGGTTGGGAAAGTCCCTGGGCTGTGTGAGGGTCTCAGGGTCCATGCTGGGTCTTGCTGGAGTAGATACAGATCCTCAGCCAAACGCCTCTGCTTAGTGGCTGCTGGTTTGTGGGGGACTTCCCAGGACAGCTGAGAAAGCACAGCCCCATGACTTGGGGCATGTTGGGGGGTGTCTTTGCTTTGTTTTGATTAACAGCTCTCTGCCAGGGTTTTCAGTAAGTGCTGATCAGTTGTGGAAATGCTGCCAAGATGCAGGCAGAGGATTGGACTAGGAAGTCTCCTGGCATCCCTGCAGGCCTGCTTCTTGCCATACTTGCATATTCACATACTTCCCTAGTCCCTGTCCAGGTAGCTGACATATTCCAGGGTGTGATGCTAATTGGGTTCATTTCTGGCTGTGATGTGTTATGTGGGCTATGTGAGCCAAGAGTTTGAAGTATTTCCTTTTAGGCCTGGGTGTGTTGGAGCAGTGCTGATGGTGCAGCCCAGGCTCTCAGGCAAAGGAAGGGCTGGGGGCGACTGCAGCTTTTCTGAGAAGACTTCCCTGAAGGCAGGCCCTGCTGTTGCCCTGGCTTCCAGTGCTCAGCACCAGTGGTGGAACCTTGTAGGAGCTGTGGGAATGTCAGAGTGAGTGGGGGCTTGCTGAGGGGGTCTGTGCATGGCCTTTCTTTGGGAGGGGAAGGGGAGGACGGATGGCTGAACTTGGACTGAGGCTGGCCAGGCTTGAGCTGCCTTCTGTTCCCTGCTTCCAGACACTGCCCACCGGGGCCCAAGGGCCATTGGATTTTTCCTAGAACCTTGGGCCTTTACATCAGTTTTTCACAAACTGCCAGTTTGGTGGGGGCGGGTGCCTAGGGCAGGACAGGTGGTCTCCAACCTGGAAGCACATTAGGAAGTAAGACCTAAGGACTGAGGTTTGAGGACCTGCCTCAACTTGCCCTCTGTGCTCAGGGCTGGTGATACCAGCAGATACATGTGTTCTGGCTGCAACAGTACTACCCAGGCTGTGCAGAGGCAGAGCACTTCGATTTGTATTTTTGGGCCTAGCAGCCAAACCCAGGGCATTGTGCATGTTAAGTGTGTGGTTTGTCACTGAACTTCACCCTGGTCTCCCAATAGAACATGCTTGTTCTGCTTTGCAGAATAGTCCCCTGGCTGTTTTGAGGCTGTGCTTACAGTCTCTGTCCCCTTGAGTCCCTTCGAAGTATGCATCAGCCTTCCCTCTGGGAGACCGTGGCCCCATCTGTGCTTTTATTAAACCCTTCCTCAGTTTTGAGTTGGAGTGTCATGAACTAGGGTGCATGAGCCATTCGGAGTAGGACTGGCTGTAGAAGTTCCTGGTGGCTCTAAGAGGGAGCTTGTGCAGGAGGCTTCTTGCTGGGAGCAAGGTGAGAAGTCACCAGGATGTTAGGCTCTACGTTACCAGCACTCACTGCTTTTTCCTCCTGGGATTTGACTCTTCCTTTGTGGTCTCTTCTCTATGGGTGATGGTGAACCCTTTGGTTTCCCATGGATTGTTAGGGCCAGGAGGTCTGAGCCAAAGTCTTAGTTCTGTCCTTTCCTTGCCAGCATGAGCTGCACAGCCTCCCTGAGGTTAATGCTGTGTGGTGGCTTTGAAGCTGTGGCTGAGAGAATGCACGTTCTTGCAGATCTGGCCCAGTGTGGACCATTCTCTGTCTGTAGGCTGATGTCCATGTTGCCTGTTCCTGACCTGGTCTTCTGCTTATATAGGGAATGCCGACTTGTTTAATGATGGCCTCAGTGGGTTAGACAAGATCTGCTGGTGCTGCAAAAGCTCAGCTGTTCTCCAAGGTCGATTCTGAATTTTAGATTTTCTGTGCTCCATCTCTTTTTGCAAAGACAATTGCTGTGAGCAGACAGTGCAATGAGCATGTGGTGTGATCCACACCAAGTGACCTCCCGGGCCCTTCTTTCTCATAGTGGGAGCAGCCTTGCTGCCATGGCAGGGGCACTGGCATTGGCCCAGGCCTGCCCTGATTTGGGTTTTGGGCCTGCGTTTTTCTTCTGGGGATCTGAGTGGCCTGTCTAAGTGAGGAGTACAGTGTCCCTCCCTTGGATGCTCCACTTGGGGTTGCATCTCTTTCTGGCCAAGTTCTTGCCTTTCTCCACAGCGTGAGGTTGACCGTAACCAGGAGCTCCTGGCACGCATCCGGCAGCTTCAGGATCGGGAGGCTGAGGCGGAGGAGAAGATGCGGGAGCAGCTGGAGCGCCACAGGCTGTGTAAACAGAACCTGGACTCTGCCAGCCAGCAGCTGCAGGAGCAGGAGGACAGTCTGGCCACAGCCAGCGAGGTGAGCACAGGCCTGTGCTGGAGCGAGGGTCCCCCAACTCTGTGGAGGTCGTCCGCTTCCTTTAGCCGTTTTCCAAGGAGAGAGAAGGAACGCACTCGCAGCTGCGCCATGGTGACACCACAACATTTTCAGTTTCAAGTTATACTTCTCACTTGTGCATCTACAGTTTTTGTGTGGTTGTGACCATAGTAAAAATGCTAGTTTCCCTTTCTTTGGTTTTTAGTTAAGAAGTTGAACAATCTTTGGTCTTTGTAATTATGAATTTTGTCATTTTCAAGGGTTCATTTCTTGTATTTGCCCTGACGCGTCTCTGGCAGATCGTGTCCTGGGTGTAGCCTATTGGCACCTGTTGCACTATTTTGTATGGATAGACCCTAGAAGCAGGGTGAGAGGAGGCTGAGGCAGCTCTGTGGGTGTTGCAGGGTTGACTGGTATAGTCTTCCCTGTCTACGTGGATGGTAGGATGCTCAGGCAGTATTTTCTTTTTTCTTAGAAGATGTAAGTAGGCGCCTCTAGATTTGCATTTCTTTGATTATCAGCAAGGTCTGGTACCATTTCCTGGCACTGAGGAATGCCTTTGAACCTGGGTGCCTTGAACTGCAGTCCATGGGAAGGCTGTGTGTGTATTAGACAGCCTGAGCATTGGTGCTAGTGGGCACTGGGCTCCTCTGACCTTCCTGTCGCTCTTGTGCAATGTTCAAGATCACAGGTGCCAAGAGGGACCAGATGAGAGCGGCCCTGGGGGAGGGCCGCGGCGCATCATTGGTATTCCACCTCTGTGTTGCGCTGTCCTCCGGATAGATCCTCGGGGCAGCTGCCGGGTGTTTTTGCCATGACAGTGCCTGGGAGCATGCTAGGGTGGTTCTTGCATCTGTCTGCTGCAGTGATTGCTGGCAGGAGAGGAAGTGAGACCAGCTTCCAGAGAAGCTGGCTCCTATCCTGCGTGGCTCGCCTGTGCTCTGGGTCCCAGGCCTGTGTTCTGGGTGGTGCCACCATTCCATGCCAGAGAGGAGTCACACGCAGCCTGAGGGGAGAGCAGACGAGGTGACCCTGTTGGGACCACTTGGGAGTGAAGTAGCACCTCCTCAGAATGGTCCTCCTGGTACTCAGTCCACAGTCACGGGCCCCTGCGCTGGACTGCATGCTTCTGTCACAGTGCCTCAATTTAGAATGCTCATTACTCTGCAGTTCTCTCATTCACCTGTTTGCTTGCTGAATGTCTGACCTCCCCCATATCTGTCCGTCATTAGGACGGCTGTCTCTGGCTGTGCCCAGTGCATGTTTATTGAGTTCAATAAGACATCTCAAGGAAGGGTTGGTTTTTGTATGTTTTTGATTCCTCCATTTTCTTTTGAGTGGCAGACTAGTGCTCGCTGTTGTCATGATTGAGTTGTACAGATTGCTGAAGTGTGGGGTGCCTGTATCCAAATCCCCAGGGGGCCATGTGGTAAATAGTGCTGGTGCATTTGCGTGGGCCCTGAGTTGGTGTGGTTTCTCTGGGGCATGGAACTGAGTCTGTGTCCTCCGTGTTTGCAAAAGGTGCTATTTGGGCCGGGCCCTGGGCCCCTAGTCACCCAGATGGTGCACCAGTATCCTTCCTGTGGTGAGTTTGCTGGGACCACTGTCTTGCCCTCTGTGTGCGGGTTTCCTGGGGTTGCTGCTGAGACGCGTTTCCCTGGGTTATTTACGTGACACTGCTAAGTGGACTTTGCCAGTGTACTCTTTCCCTAGGAGAGCTATAGGGGGAGGTTGCTGGGTGAGTGGTGATAGGGCAGGGGCAGTTCCTTTATGTGACTGTCAGTGTGTTGGTGGACTTGCTCTCCTGTCCTGGAGGCCTCTGGGTGAGCACTGCTGGCTTTGCTTTGGGGATACCTCCTACTCTGAGTACATGGCCAGCCAGCAGCTTCTAGCCCATCTGGCTGGCCTGGGGGATCTGTGCCCTCACTGACTGCTGGTGTGGTGGTAGGATTGTTGTGGTTAGGGGAGGGATTCTAGGCTGGGAGCATGATAACTACACCTGGGGGTGTGGGACGCTGGGGGCATGGTACCAGGCATGGAGGCCAACTGCTATCAGGCCTGAGAGGCATTGTCATCCTGGCTTTTGGCTTAAGAGTTCCCCCCAGCCCGTGGGACCAGCTTTTCTAGGCACTGCTGTGACCTGGATCTGTCTGTTGTGTCATGTGGAGCATGAAGCAGGGCCTTGCACTGGGATGCTTTTGTCTCTGCTATCCAGATGCACACTCCGCAGGAGGGGGGTTCTGTCCTTCCCCAGGTGGCAGGTGTGAGGTGACAGGCTCTTCCTTTTGCCCCGCATCTCCTGGGAGGGCCAGGCCTACCTCTATGCAGGCCTGGCCTCAGCATGCTGTCTCTGCTTTCAGACGATCGGCACCTTGAAGGGGCGAGTCTCAGAGCTGCAGTGGAGCTTGATGGACCAGGAAGTGCAAGTAAAGCGGCTGGAGTCTGAGAAGCAGGAGCTCCAGGAGCAGCTTGACTTGAAGCACAGGTGAGGGGTGTGGACCTGTAGGAGGGCCAGGTGCTGAGTCACTTAGGCCGAAACAGTGAATGCCAGAATGGGGGCATCTGAAATGTTCCTGAGTTGGAGCAGGGGTAGGGGTGGGGCAGCAGCCTTCCAGAGAAGGTGTTTGCTGAGCTAGATTTTGAAGGGCATGCAGGAGGGCTTGTAGGATATCTGGAGGTGTGTGGGCTATGGATGGGAAAGGTTGTTCCAGGTGCAAGAGACACACTAGGGAAGGCAAGGATGTGTGAAGTGCTAGCTGGAGGCATGAAGTTCTCTCCCAAGGAGGTGGCTCTTTTCCTAGCAAGTATTGTCAGAAGTATGTCTGCTTCCTGGGGAAGAAGAGTGGTCAGGCTTGAGTGGCCCCGTCCAACTTCACCAGGGTGGTGGACATGTGAGCAGAATGATACCCAGAGAGCTGCAGGCTGCTGTGGGGCCAGGCTCCCCATTGTGCCCCCTCCCCAGGAGTTCAAGGCCTCAGAGCCAGTGCAAGCCACTCCATGCCTTGGGTACCCCTGTAGCATGCAGGTGTGGGTCCATGCTGGGACTCAGGCTGAGTTGTTCCTAGACCCAATGTCCTCTTCCTTTATCAGAAAATGGCAGGAAGCAAATCAGAAAATTGAAGAGCTCCAGGCCAGCCAAGAAGCCAGAGCAGACCAGGAACAGAAGATTAAGGTGAGTCACTCTGTAAGGCTCTGGACATGCATCCTGTAGAGAAGAAGATATCATAGGGTAGTCTTTGCCCTCCTGCCACCTACAGGCCTTTCTGATCCATGGGTGTCTCAGTGGCGTTTGTGGGTGTTAACTGATTGTCTCGGCATGCTAAGCACTGTATTGGGTACCAGGGAGGCCGTGGGTTAGTGGGATGGGGACATCTGTTCATGGAAAGGCCCATCCTAGTGGAGGATGCACAGGAAACACAAAGATAAAAGTAGATATGGAAGGTGGTATGAAGTAGGCTGGAGAGGTAGAAACTCTGCTTCTAGGGGTGCAGCCGGAACATGCCTGAGCTGGGTCCATCTGATGCAAGGTCAGGCTTTGCTTCTTCAGTGCAGGGAATACTTCTGGAGAAATGGTGTCTTGAGGTCCCTCCTGTAGCTTTCTTTTGCCTTCAGAGTAACATCCAGGCTCCATGGGAGGTCTGTGCTGCCCGCTGCCTGAATTCTCTCCCACGGTGAGAGAACCTGGGCAGGCCTCAAGCATTAGAGCTTTACTCCTGGTCTCCTGGGCTAACAGTTCAGCCAGCATCCTGGCTTCCTTCTCCTGGGACATCATTCTCCTGCAGCCCTGGGCTTGTGTGAACAGCCTGATTTGTCTTTGATGTCACTTGGTCCCTGTCACTTGACCCGTTCCCTGGCTAGCACTGAGCTTCATTGGGAGCTTATTTATTGACTTGGTCCTTGTTGCATACTCTGTTCTGTGACTTGTTACAGAAGTCAGTGCTGTCCTGATGAGTCCCGAGGTGGCAGACTGAAGGAAAGTCTGTCCTCACAGTTGGAGCACACTTGCTGTGGCAGGTGCTGCGGGAGGCAGATGTCTCACTGAGAATGTCTGGGCTGATGTGCGGCAGACTTCTGTTTCCTGAGACTGAGGGCGGGGAGATGGTGTGGATGGGTGGGGGCACACAGCAGGCAGGCTGCTCCTGAAGCACATGGCAAGGACACAGCCCACCTAGTGCAGTGGGAGAAGACATCGTGGAGGAGGGACCTCTGTGGTGTCAGCAGCGGGGAGGTGACTGAACAGGGAGCCCCTACTCTTTCACTTCCTGTCATTCTGCCTTTATCGAGTGTTCTACAGGGGAACATCCTGGCTGTGCCTTCCACCTTGAATTCTCGGCGTTCCTGCCACTTACTATTCTTTTCTTTCCCCTGCCTGCCTCTGTCAGGACCTGGAGCAGAAACTGTGCCTGCAGGAGCAGGATGCCGCTGTCGTGAGGAGCATGAAGTCTGAGCTGCTGCGGCTGCCCAGGGTGGAGCGGGAGCTGAAGCGCCTGCGGGAGGAGAACGCGCACCTGCGGTGAGGAGCCAAGGACCTGGGGAGCAGTGGAGTTAGGGTTTATGGGGTAGGCGCCTGCGTTCCTGGCCCTGAGTTCATCTTCAGCCTGTGCTGCTGCTGGAGTGACTGTTTCTGACCCCACAGGGAGATGAGGGACACTAACGGGCTGCTCACGGAGGAGCTGGAAGGGCTGCAGCGGCGGCTGGGTCGCCAGGAGAAGATGCAGGAAGCTCTGGTCGGCCTGGAGCTGGAGAAGGAGGTGAGGGTCCCAGTGGGCGCGCTACACCTGCAGGGCTGTCCTCTGTCCTCCCAGAGGACTCTTGGCGTCTGTCATATGTAGCAGCTGGTCACCTGTGATGTGGCTGCTGATGTGATATTGTGTTGGGTAAAAAGATGGCCCTCAAGGAGATCCACATCCTGGCCCAGAACCTGTGAAAGTGTTACTGTGGGTGGCAGGGGGAGGAGCTTGCTGATCTGCTGGCTGTAATGGGGGAGGACGTTGCACTGTCTGGGTGGGCTGTGCAGTCTCGGAGGTGAGGGGGCTATCTAGGTGTTGCTGGCTGTGTGGATGAAAGAAGGAGCCCTGAGCCAAGGGATGCAGGCACTTCTAGAACCTGGAAAAGCAGGAGATGGCCTCTGAGGAACTTTCAAGAGGAACCAGTCCTGGTCACACCTATATTTTAGTTCAGTGAGACCTGGTTTGGGTTTCTGAACTAAAGTACTATAAGAGGATTAGTGTGGAGGCCGCTGAGTTTGTGCAGAAAACCCATGCAGATGGTGAGTCAGGGAGGAAATGACAGGTGGTGCCTGTGAGGTGCACACAGAGGAGACTTGCGCTTGCTGTCTTCTCCTGTGTCCGCTCTTGTGACTCCCTGGTGGCATTGTGTGGGAAGATGCCCATGCTGTGTAGTGTTGGAGTTGCCTGTGGGCAGAGAAGCTCTGTCTCTTGCCTAGTGTCCAGGGAGTTTGGACCAGAGCTTAGGCCTGCTGGCTCCTGGGGTTTTTGTCCTTCATGCTGTGGTCATTCTGTTGCCCTCCTTTCCTGGTTTATCTGCCATGCACCGGGCCACTGTTAAATCCTGTTCCATCTGGAGGAGAGTAAACGTGTCAGTCTGCATTTTGGCCCTTTTGGCTGCTCCCATTGCATTGGCCAATTCCTGAGCTGCCTCTTGGGTCGTGTGTATCCTAGTGCTGTTCAGAGGTTCAGGAGAGGTGAGGGCGCAGTGGGGCGCAGAGCTCTGTGAGTAGCCCTGGCGATGGCTTGCTGTGGCTGGGTTCCTTGTCTGAGGTGGGCTTCTCGGGGAATGGCAGGCTAGAGAGATTTTCCCAGGCCAATTACTTGACCCTGTTTCTCTTGACATAGTTTTAAGAAATTTAAGAAACTGCTTAAGATTGGGGGCTGTGGAGCCATACCTAGTTTGAGGTCCTGCCGTGGATGCTCAATGGCTGTGTGATGCTAGGCCTGTTCTTGCCCACGCTTGGTCTCTGTGCCTGTGAAGAACACTGACAATGTCTGCCTTGTTTAAAGTGTTTAAAGCAAGCCTGGTGCATAGTACACGTTCCACAGCATTGGCTGTGGGGAAGTCAGTCAGGCCGCTCTGACACCTCAAGAGGCCCTGGAAGTATTTGACTAAACCATTGGTGACAGCACCTTACTGGGCACCAGGAGGAGGTGACAGGCCAGACCAAAAGCGTGTGAGTCTTAGCTGGGTGTGGTAGTGCATGCCTGTAATCCCAGCACTTGAACGCTGAGACAGGAGGATTGCTGTGAATTTAAGACCAGCCTGAGCTTCACAGTGAGTTCAAGGCCAGCCTGAACTACATGGTGAGACCTGGTTTCAAAAAAAAAAGGAAAAAAAAAATAAAGCCTGTGGCCCTTGCCCTCAGATTGCTTCAGATGGGAAGGCGAGGAGGCTCAGCTTCTGGGACTCGGGCTGATATGGCGCATTATGTGAGCAGTGCTGCACCACTTTGTTCTTCAGGCCAGCTGTCCTGGCTGTGCCGTCTCCTGGGGCTTACTGGTCCTAGCCTGCCTGGGGTGTGTAGGTGAGGGGAGATTTGGCTCTAGGATTGAGTTCCTCTCCCTACGACTTGGCATCCTAAGGGTGCCTGGCCTCGGGGCTCTGGGGCGCAGGTCTACAGCCCATGTCACATGTATTGTAGCTTGCTGGCTCCCACTTGAATTTATGGACCAAGCCAGTGAGGCTGAGGTGCAGTGTAACTTCACCTGAGAGCAGCTAGGCTGCCTCAGAGCAGATGTGGAGCATTTGTCTGAGTTTAGGGATGCAGCAGACCTTTCTGAAACACTGGGGGACTTACACTGTCATCATCAGTTTTGCCTGAATGTCACTCGACACACACTGATGGGGACATGGCTGTGACTGTCTTTTCAGAGGCTGCTGGCAAAGCTGCAAAGCTGGGAGACGCTGGACCAGACCACAGGTTTGAACCTCAGGTGGGTGCAGCTGTTCTTTTATCCCCTGGGCTGCTGGTGTCCATACCAGTCCCCTGGCGAGCGGGTGGGCGGCTCCTCCTCCTTGCTTGGTGTCCTCTTGGTCATGCTTGTTTATGGCTGGCAGTGCAGTGTGTGTGTGTGGGCTCTTGTCTCATGCTGCCCAGGTTTAATGAGGCGCTGGAGCCGTGGGAGGGAAATGGAACTGTGTGGCTCTTATGTGTTGAAGTCTTGTACCACCTCTGCTGAAAACCAGACTACTTACGGCAGAGAGGGGGCGGCTGTCTGGTGCCCTGCATTGTTAGGCTTGTTAGAGGACTCTATATGCTGAGGAAGTAATTGCTTTTGGGAAGAATCATTCCTCCTAGGTGATTGTAATCACTAGGGATGCACTGAGATTTAGGATTCAAAAAACCCCATCACAGGAGAGGATTCTTGTCTCGCTTGGACCCCTGTAGCATTTTCTTGCAGGCAGTCTGTCATTGCCAGTGGGTGAGTGCAGAGTGGGCCACAGGTCAGCTGCTGGGCAGCCCACCTCTGGGTGCTGGGCATTGTATTCCGACAAAGGATGGGGTGTTCTCATTGCTGATTCCATCGTCCTCTACTCATCTCTAGCAGTGGCTCAGTTGTGGTCTGCCCACTGCTGCTGTGACCTACTGTGGTCATTGCAGACTATTATCTCCTTACAATTGCCCCATCTGCTCCTAGTCCCAAGGAGTGTGAAGCCTGGTCTTCCGGATGAGCCATTGCAGCCTGGGGCATAGGCCTGGGGGTTTAGGGAGTTTTTGTTTTATTTGCTCAGGGGATACTTAGACTTTCAGCTTTCTGGTTCACTTTCCTGATACTCTGGGAAATGAGGCCAGGATTGAGACTCTTTTAATGAGCTGAGCCGTTGTGTCCTGTCATTATGCTGTCCACTGCCATCTCTGAAACCTGCCAGCTTCTGAGCAGCAGTCTTGGCTTCAGTTCTTTGTCATTTGACAGAGCCTCTGAATTTCTTTCTGCCTTGCTGAGTTGTGGCGTGCAGACCACACTGCCGTTCTGTCTGAAGCCCATGGGCATGCTACTGTGCTTCCTTCTCTTCTCGGCTCGGCAGCTACCCATGGGCCTGTCCAGATCCTGGGGCTACTCTGATTAGCCAGGAAGACCCTGTGACTTTTTTCTTGTGAGGGAGGTTAGAGGCCCCTCATGCCCAGTTGGACCAACCCTTGGGAACACTAGCATGCCACATGCCTGGTGTCTTCAGCATGGCACTCAGTGTCAGACAGGCAGGGGGAGCTGGCACAGCTGGCTGCTGCTCTGGCCTAAGTGGTGCAGACTTCCGAGGCCTTGTGGAAATGTCCAGCTTCTCCCTTTGAGCCCAGGTCTGCATCTGAAGGTTCTGTTGTGAGTGTGGCTGGCATGAGGGCAAGCTGGTCCTTGGGGGCTGCCTGCCATGTGCTGTGTTCGCACCGCTATCCCAGGCCAGACTGTGATAAGGTGGATGGTGCCTATGCCTGCTGGCCTTGAACCTGCAACGATCCTCCTGGCTCAGCTTCCCGAGTGCCGAGATTACAGGCATGCACCACCACGCCTGGCTCTCACGTGGAGTTCTGAGGGGTGTGATATAGCCAAGTGGTAGAAAATGTGCTTTGCATTAGCATATGTGTACACATTAGCATGTGTAAGGCTCTGGGTTCAATCCTCAGCAGCAAGGAAAAAAAATAAGAAAGAAAGAAAAAAAAAAGAAAAATTCTACACTTTAAGCTGAGCATGGTAGGGTACACTTTTAGTGGTAGCTGCTCAGGAGCCTGAGGCAGGAGGATTGCTTGAACCTAAGAGTTTGAGCAACTTAGTGAGCAGCTGTCTCAGAAATCACCTCTGAGGGCTGGACTTGAGTGTTGTGGTGACCTTGCCGACTGCCGGTGCTGAGGATTTGGGCTTGCTCTTTTTCTTGCTGGTTTTGGGGGCAGTGGCTAACGGTGAGCAGAAAGAGTGACTCATTGAAGCCCAGGCTTGGTGAGATGGAATGTGGCGCTAGGACTGGGCAGAGAGGAGTGGGAGGTGTTGCCCAGTGCTGTAGGTTGGCGTCCCTGGAGAAGGAGCTGCACGCGTGTGTACTCGTTGTTCGTGCATGGACACCTGTGACTGTGCTGCCAGGTCATACACCACTCCATGACGGCCACTGGGGACCTGAGACAGTCAGCCCACCTTCCCTACCAGGTCCCAAGAGGCAGGTGCATGAGCTCCCTGGAGTGTTCTGACCTCCTGCCAGGGTCTTGCCATCATTTGGGGCACATCCAACTTGAGCTCTGTGTGTGTTGGGGGGGTGGGGGGGGTCCTAGGAATGGCTACCACTAGGTGGCACCACCCCCCTGGTGATCAGCTTCTTCAGGGAGCCTGTTCCTATCTCACTACCCTCCCATTAGGGACTTACAACACCAGGGATCTGGCTGACCAGACTGGGAAGGGTCTGTGGTCCCAGACTCTGCCAGGCTTTGGGCACAGGCAGTGTCTTTTTTGTGTCCCGTGCAGGTCCTGTCCTTGACCAGCCTCTCTGGGTGTCTCCCCAGATCTGTGTTCTTCGGGGGTTTACAGCCGTACTCTTAGCTGGGCTCTCCTCTGAGACAGGGCCTGACTTCCCCGAGAGTCTCAGGGGCTCTGGGGCCTCAGCCCTGAGTGGGCAAGAGTGCTCTGCCTACCATGAAGCTCCCCACATGTAACAGTGGCTGCCTCTCCCTGGTTTGGGATTTGTGTATTTAAGAGACCAGAGACATTAGGAGAGGTGGATAAGCAAGTTGGCTGGGTGAGTCAGCCAGAGTCACCACAGGGAAGACTATCCAAGCTTCCTTGACAGCCAGGCCATGGAGTCCAGCACATGGGGTCACATGGGCAGGGAGAGATGGGCCTGTTCAACCTGATACAACAAGAACATAAGATCATGTGGGCCAGTGGACCGATAGATAGGTCCTTGCGTTCTCGTGTGGTTGGCTGGGGTGGGCGGACAGATTTGTCCACTGTGATGTTACTGGTACAGAGGGTCATGTAGACCAGGAGCAGATGTGACTTCATCACCGGGAACATGACAGGGTAGCTGTGTGTGTGGTGCTGTGGCCGTGGGCATGGATCACTGATGCTGAGGGTTGTGTGGCCTCCTAGTTCTCGAGGGCCTTGAGTGTTGATTGGGGGCGGCATGAGGAACCTGGTCTTGCAGGAGCATGGTCTCCGGGCAATGAGTTAAAAAGTATGAGAAGTGGATGAGAGGGACAGACAGCCTGGGTAGGACTGCCTGGGGCGCTGGACGGCGTGAGGACAGCGGGGGTGGGGTGGGGGTGAGGAAGGAGCCAGAGCTGAGTTCATTGCAGGAATACAAGGTGCTGCCCTTTAGAAAACCAATGATTTTGGTAGAATAAAGATGGGGATGTATGTTTCAGGAGACTAACAGAGGAAGCCTTTGTGAAAATCTTGACCCTCATGGTTGAAGATTCTCAGCAAGCAAGGAAAAGAAGGGGAATGCCACAGACAAGCAAGTGACTATAATATGGATGGGAAAAGATGAGGGTGTGTCTTCCCAAGACACCAGCTCACTTTGTAGGCGGAGGGACTGACCTCCATCCCGACCCTGGGGACCAGAGAGCCCCAGTGTCCTCATCACTCTACTCTGTTCATACAGTAGGTGGTGAGGCTGACTTCTGCCCCGATCCTGGGGACCAGGTGAGGCCATGTGTCCTCACCACTCCCTTCACACAGGTGCCAAGGATATCCTCTGCCTCAGCCCTGGAGACCTGGCAAGGCTGTATGTTCTCTCCCTCCCTCTCATATTGTACTGGACGTCCCCACCTGTGTAAATGCATAAGGAAAAGTTGGGCTTGTCAGATAGAAAGAGTAAAACTGTCTCTACTGGGAAGCAGCGTAATTATGTAGCCTCTCCGAAGGTGTCAGTAAACATCTAGCTGGACTAATTAGTGCGGGTAACAGGGTCACAGGATATAGGAGCAATATCCAAAAATGATTATATTTCTGTGCTCTAGCAATAAAGCATTGGAAGCACATAGTGTTTACAATGGCATCAGAACCACAAAATACTTAGGAATAAATTTAACAAAATATGTTTAAGATCTGTTCTCTGAAATTCATAAGATGCAGCTGACAGTAATTAAAGATGACCTAATAATATAGGAAAATGGAGAGAAACTGTAAGAGGAAAAAATAAACTCTCTCCCTTCAGCTCTCCACTACTCACTCGGCACAGCACTCTGACACCAGATGTGGGTTTTTTCCACACAGCAAGCAATTCTCCTGCGGACGCCAGCTGAGTGGCCTACAATTCAGTTCAGACACTGTATACTTGGAGTTAGAGTCAGCTCCCACGGGAGGAGAGCTCGGACGCAAAGGTGGACCTCAGATGCCAGTCACAAATCCTCACCTACACTTCTGACCAACTGGCTCTGAAGTGGGCTTCCAGAACCCTGCCTTTGGGTTGTATTAGTTTGTCGAGTGGTTCACAGAACTCAGGAAGACACTTTATTACATTCACCTATTTATTGGAAAGGATATTATGAAAAATCCAGATGTGCAGCCAGATGGAGCTGCATGTGAGAAGGTATGGTGGGGCCATGGTGCTCCCACCTGGAGAGCACCCTCCAGGAGCCTTCTGTCTAAAAGCTCTACAGGGAATTGAACTCAAGACCTGTGTTTGCCAGGCAGGTGCTGTGCCACTGAGCTATAGCCCCGCCCCAAAAACCCTGTCTTTTTGGGGTTTACAGGGGCTTCCTGACATAGGCATGGTTGGTTACATCATTGGTCATTTATGGTCAACTCTGCCTTCTTCTTGTCAGAGACTGAATGTCTTACTCCTCTGACCTGCCTTGGTCTTTGTGGTGACCAGCCCTGTCCTGAAGCCACTAGAGGCTACCAGTCACCAAGCCTTCTTGTTAGCATACAAAGCACTTAACGCTGCAAAGATTGCAAGGGTTTCAGGAACTGTTAGTCTGGAGAAAGTGAGAAAGACCAAATACGGTTTA